AAAATAACAAAACCATTTTATATTCACCACATATTTGGTACTGTAGTAATATCGGTGTTACTTTAACAAATAATCTGCAGGACATAGCATAGTGCTACAGTATTGCATAGCAACCATTCTAAATCAATATGTATTCATGGGGGCCCTGAAATTCTGAGGCCCTTGGCTATAAGCCCCTTAAAGCCCCTCTGTTAAATCCGGACATAGCCATTATGGCTCATCACATACTAATTCCAGTTTCTCCGTGACATGAAGCTACTTCAAATAAATTTCCTAAACTGGCTACATGTAAAACACATTCCGTATGACAAATCATATGCAGGCGTATACTATTTTGCAATGAATACCTGGATTAAGACCTCGTCACACGATGCCGCTCATGACAGTTGAATGACCACACTTCCACGCTGGCCAGTGTTGGTTGGTGAAGGCAAGGGGTTAGGAACAGCTCAGACAACAAATGCCACTGGCGTTAGCAGTGTCCAGGGATTTAACTCAGACGGCCAGATTTATATCGCACGGCAACCAACCACTGCCCCCCACTCCCTGCATCCCGTTATACGTACATATGTGTGGACATATTGCATACGTGTCTACAGTAGACTCAATCATCCGCGTGCGGTTTATCCGATTTGCGGATTAACTGTGCACCTGGTATTTTCACGTGTATTAATAACTCATACATTTTCCCTGAAGCCCAAATTAATAATCTAAAGAGACATACATTGTTATTCTTGAAAATCTTTACTAAAAGCTTTCGTGACTGCAAGAATTAATATTCTTGGGTCTTTCGGTAAAGTCACATAGATAGGTTCAAAGAAAATAACAAAAAAAATCTACGACGTTTCGATCGCAACACAAGCGGTCGTCTTCAGGAAAAGGAGGGTTAGATTCCAAGGCAAACTGTTTATAAGGGTTTGAAATGGGCGTAGCCCAAATGTCAACAGCCAATGATAAACTAAGTGGTGGACAGCCAACCCGACGGTGTTTAGTTTTCCACCAATCAAAGGGCTGCAAATTGATAATTAGCATGTTAAAGAGAGATTAGCATGTTAATGGGAGATTGCAGAGCTGCAAACCAAGGGGTCGGCGCGCGAAGTGACTGTGAAAGTTTGAAATGGTTGTAAAGCACAACTAACATCGGAATGTGGTACGATGGGAACATCATCGCCAATTATGACTTAAACTGGTTGATAACGTCCTTCCATTGATTGCTCAGTTTGTACCCATCTTCTCGGTTGAAATTGTGTCTGTGTCTATATACATGATGGCTTCATGAACGAATCTTTGTTGATAGCCAGTGGGTTTGCAAAGTACCTTCGTCTTAGAGAAATCAATTTCGTGTGAACCCACTGCATTGGAACAATGATCAGCCACGGCCGAGGTATTGGTCTTACCGTATTTTAGATTTGGCTCATGTTAACCCCTGCTATGTATGGCAAGGTGATGGTTTTGATTGGGTCCTCAGATCGTTATTTTCCAACGGTTGGTGTGATAGCTTTACGGATTGTGTAGTCTGAATATCCATTCATCACCTTGCCATATATAGCAGGGGTCACTAAAAAGATTTCCAAAATCATGAGCAAACTCAAGATCCAGGTTCGATTTAACAGTACGTAAAATTCGTGATCTTATCCCATCTGTGAAGGATGTGATTGCTGACATGCAATACCTCGGTGTCTACAAACTAAGCTGTGTCTGCGGCAGTAGTTACATTGGGGAAACTAAGCGACATGTCTCGGACCGTGTTCGTGAACATGAGGCAGATCTGAAACATGGTAGGACCAATACCTCGGCCATGGCTGATCATTGTTCCAATGCGGTGGGCTCGCACAAAATTGATTTCTCTAAGACGAAGGTACTTTGCAAACCCACTGGCTATCAACAAAGATTCGTTCATGAAGCCATCCATATATGTAGACACAGACACAATTTCAACCGAGAAGATGGGTACAAACTGAGCAATCATTGGAAGGACGTTATCAACCAGTTTAAGTCATAATTGACTATGATGTTCCCATCCTACCACCTTCCGATGTTAGTTGTGCTTTACGCCCATTTCAAACTTGCGCTTTCACAGTCACTTCGCACGCCGACCCCTTGGTTACGGCTCTACGATCTTCCATTAACAGCTAATCTCTCTTTAACATGCTAATTTTCACCTGGCAGCCCTTTGATTGGTGTAAAACTAACTACCGTCGGATTGGCTGTCCACCACTTACATTATCATTGGTTGCTGACATTTGGGCTACGCCCATTTCAAACCCTTATAAACAGTTTGCCTTGGACGCTATCCCCCCTTTTCCTGAAGACGACCGCTTGTGTTGCGATCGAAACTTCGTAGTTTTTTGGTAATTTTCTTTGAACCTATCTACGTGACTTTACCGAAAGACGCAATAATATTCTCGAAAATATGTATTACAAGTCACGTGCTTCAACCGAAAAATGTGCTCCGATCAATCCGAAATTCACGTGATCGCCACTTCAGTACAGTAGTCGCATACCTTTCCAACAGTGGGCGGAGTTTGATTGATGTTGATTGGCGTGGCGTGGCACTGCTGCTGTTCACTTAGTGGGCCTCATCTTCTGCACGGGAGCAGGAAAGTGTCATCACTGAGCATGTGCATCGACCGGTGTCGAGAGTTATTAATCGTTATAAATTGAAATAGTTACAATCAAAATTGTAGTTGTGCTTCATTTTGAGTGGTTTATCCGATAATTTAGTTTGTGAGCTTTAATTGAGGAAACTGCGATGGCAGAGAAATGGAAGCGTGTTTGTTTTTACTTTAAATAAGAAACTAGATACTATGTGTAATTTTCAAACATGTTTAAGTGAGTGTGTGTTTTGTATGGACTTTTGTAATTAAAACAAGATCAATAAAAAAATTACAATTTTGTTTTGTTCATTAATAAACTCAATTTTCTTCACTTAAATATAATTTATACCTAGTGATTTTTGGCACAGAGATCCTCAGAAAATTCATATTTTTGGATTATCCGCCATTAGCGTGGATAATCGAGTGTACTGTATTTATATGGATGTATGGTATTGAATATGTACAATATGTATGCATATGTGCACACCCCTATAAACGCAGTGACGTGGGTTTGATTCCTGAACAAGATGCATATTTGGCAAGCGTGTTATATAAGCCTTTCAAGTATCATGTGAGCCTGCAAAGTTCCCATCAAAAATGCTCTTGAGGTATACCAAGTCCGTTGTGGGACACATGTAAATACAGAATGTGGGGTTCCTTTATATTAACTTAATTGCTGGTGCTTGTGCAATTTTCAGAATACAATAACGCAACAGAAGGCATACAAAATAGAGTGCTGTAATTCATGGACATTTGCTGATGTGGCAAATTAAGTGGCAGAGAACTTCACCTTGCAAAATAACAAGCTTCCACCCCATATATATGCATTATTACATTTCCTGTGGGAATATATGCGTGTAATATTGTTGATATATTTTATGACATCTAATTAAACCGTCAAGAATTTTAGAAATTGCACGTTAACATTTTGCAAAGTCACACTTATCACACACGGCCTATGACTTCATTTTGCAATTATGTATCTTGACTCTTACCGTAAATATGCATTTCAAAAGCAGCTTGTGTGCCTCAAGATATTCCCAAGGCTGACATGACATTAAAACCGGTCTTGTTATATCTTGTTTGACCACTCATGAATAGCTGGAGCCAAAACACTTATGTTGTCTTACCTACAAGCTGCACCAATATTTTAACAGCTGGTAGTCGAGTTGCCCTTCAATACTCGACTTATCACATCCTACAAAGACTGCAGTGACTATTTAAGCCACTTCCCTTAAACACCTCGCCCCTTCCCTTAAACACCTCGCCCCCTTAAGCTGAAGTTGAGTACGACTCTTCTCCGACTCGCGTCCCATTCTAATAGCTCCGGAGAGAAGTGGCGGCGAGTGGTTTCCTAAAGTGCTGCACCATACCAATTCTCACGGACTCTGAAATTGTGAGAATTGGTACCCTCACCGTGGTGACACACCGAGTCATGAAAAAAAGTCCAGGTCTCGCATGTCACTGGCTATGCTCCAGAGATATGTTCTTGTGAAAAGCTCGTAACAACAAAACTATATTAACGTTGTGCCTCTTCATCGCCATAATCTTGGCATTATGTCATTCTAGACAATTAAGGGACATATTAACATGTTGAATTTCGCGACCTATATTATCCACAAAAGTTTTTTTTGGGTGAGATCGCGTGAATACACACGTGTTCTTAAATCCGCCACCACCGGACACAGCCTATTAGTAAGGCTTGTCATGTAAACAAAACATGCCAATTAGTTACTAGTTCGGCACACCGGTGTAAATGTTGTGGGTTTCCTCTCCAACATATATATTGACGCGATAAAACCCCACAGCACCTATATTGTCAATCAAGGGACATTTTCTTTACCTTTTATAGAAAGCCAGAAGGGGGCAACGACCATGATTACACCCAAACCAAACATCCCACTTCCATTTTATCAATGCAATGGAGTTTACTCGAGAGCAAGACCTGCACTGCGTTAGGCCTTCACCAACAATGTGCACCACTAATGATAAACCCACAGTCCGGCCTATGCACCGAGAATAACTCATTATTGGGGTTGTCAATGTCACGCCATGGTGGTATTTCATGGTAACCACATGGCACATAAACTGTATATTATGTCACACGTGTAGGGTTTTTATAAGTACTGTACACTACAATTAAAATTTGGATTTAACAGTACACACCAATTGTGTTTACAACTTCAGTACATAATATACTGCATTAGCTTACCTACAGCAATTTACTATGACCTGAATGTCCTTCAAGCCATGTATTCCTCAATTAGACAGTAACTCAATTGTAACGATGCAATTATTTCATAATAAGTAACACCATCAATTCTGATTTAAAGGGTGTCAAAAAGTAAATAGTAATTTCCCCATGCCTTCCGCGCACAAATTACCAAACACAGAAACTTGCAGTAGTGTGTATTTTTTTTAAGAAATGCAATTTAATTACAAAACAAGCCAACCCATCAATAAAGCACAAATATCAGATGCAATGCAATACTGCAGTCAGAACAAAGTCATACAGTACAGCAATGTAATGCCTTTGCTTCAAACTTCAGGATTCATAAACCGGTCAGAAATACAGATACAGTACAAAAAATAGGCTAATACAACATTTATAACCATTCCAACACAGTACGTACTTACCAAAGCAAGTATAACCCACCCTCTAAAACAGCCAATTACTGCATTACGTTTCATAATACGCACTTACAAGGTATACAACTCCCAAAAATGGAGCAGCGTGAGCGGTTGTCTTGATATTCATTGGCTTTCAAAAACATCAGACACGATAGAACTATTCCTGTAGCAGCCTCTGTACGAGAGATACAATACTTCGTTGCAGTGGGACCACCACAAATGACCATATGTAATGGATACTCGCAATGTGTATTGTATATAAGAATCACTTGTAAGGGTAGGGGTCACAAAACTGGATGTTATAACAGCCATTTGTTGGCATAGGGTTGTATTGGAGCACGCCAAGCTGTTAACAATGAGCCTATTTCTCCCATTAGGAGTGCAAAGAGCACTGCAACAATGTGCCCCCAAATAATTATCCACAGGTCGGTCCAGTTTTTTTTTAACATTACGATTCAATTACAGTTGTAACCACGATTTCCCATCAATTGTAATTCATTAAGTGGCCTTCATGTGGGGCGTACAGGGTGCTTTGATTGATGCCTATTTATCAATTTACACAAGCTATTATTTACACATTTAATTCGGCATATAATTACAGCAACATGTTTATCTTATTTTCAGTTTATATTTGAAACCCATTGGACCCACGTGGTGTTTGTGTTTTGGCACCAACACTCGAGCTACTGCAGTGCACGTAACTGTGTGAACACAAAATATCATCTCTTCCCACACAACAAGTAAATCCCGTACATTTCAAATGGGAGCAGCATGCTCATTATAAAACCCCCACAGCTCTTGGTATACTATTTAAAGCACACTTTTGTTGACACTGATTCTGTACATGTGGCAACAATGGTTCAAATACATGCGGTGTTATTTCACTGTTTGGGATTCACTTACAAAATAAGTGGCATCGACGACAACGTGACCGCGTGACTGAAACAGCCAAAGTGTAGGCGATCCTGAGACGCTGACTTTGTAATAATTGATATAATTGCAAGGAATATGCAGTTACCAATAACTGGATGACAGAACTTCAGTTGGTCTTACTTTGTATGCGATAGCCGAACGGCCTGTATACAGACGTTAACAAGAGTGGCCAGAGAGGTAATACAAAAACAATACACATGTCGCCAATGTTTGGTGTTCATAATTAACTTACAGCTACATTATAATGTACAACCACAATGGAGGATAACACCTACGGAGATTTAATTTAGTGAATGCTTTCACTTAATTCAGAAGAGTTCGCAATTTAAATGTTTTTTTTTAAACGTGTGAGAACGAGAGGTGTGATAATATAGATGCAAATATAGATCCACTTGTGTTCTCCAGGTAGGTTTGGTCACAATTTTATATATTTGACAAATTAAAGCCAAAGTTGTTCACATCATGCTTTATATACTGTTAATAGCTCAGTGTGCATGCAACCTTTGATTATACTTTAATCTAATTTGGTTGTGTTTACATAATATGGTTACAAACACTTGTGTTCATAGCTGTTCGAGTATCGTATTTTGGGAATTGAGTGGTTTAATGTAGCAGATGACATGAACCAATCCCGATAAAACCAGACGTGGAACCAACAAATTCTGAAAAATAACCATAATGTGCATGATTAAAGTCAATACTTATAAACACATATACTGTATCTTTCGTTTTTTTGGCTTTTAAATGCCTATCCTTAATGTGTGTTTTTTTTAAAGACAAAATATAATTATGAAAGGGAAAATATTGCTTTCATCCCTTTATTTATTTTGATAGCACTACTGTGTACCTAATTGATTATATTACACAACTGTGTCAAACCTTCTCTTCCATTGCCGTTGCCCTTTGATTTGATAACGCTCATGTGCGGGCACGCACAGTAAAACTTTACATCATTCTCATCAGAGCACTGGCTGTCGGTCTGGACCTTGCACAAACACGCTTTTTCGATAACATCAACATCCTTTACTCACTGCTGCTTCGGGTGCTTCCTTTGGAAGGTGCGGTGCAAGCAAACGCACCGGGTTGGTGTATTTTTTTTTTTGGGGGGGGGAGGAGGAGGGGGGGGGGTAACATTGATCGAGCTCCGAGGCTCAAGTTGTTATACGAAGGAATGCCTCTTTGATCTTGTGAATGCCCCTGTCTCCGTGCAGAGGCTGGAAGTTTGTCGAGTTCTCCGATGCCAGAGCCTGTATGTCAGCGAGGCCAAAATAGACAATCCTTTCCCTGAGCCAAGCCTGCAGCTCATACTCATGCCGAAACGGATAAGGGCTCTCCTGAAGGATGCGAATCCCACTCACCGTCTCTGAAATTGATCTGCGCACACACACACAAAAACACGGCACAGTGTACACACAAGCAATGCTGTCATAAAAAAACGGTCAAACTCCGTTTATCCGTGACCTGACTATATGTGAATTGTTTATTGGGGGTCGGCAAAATATAGGTTCTTCCAAATATCTGGGGTCCAGACCACGGTTTAGCAGAATTAATAATAAAAAAATATTTTAATTATCCACGGTCAGGACCAGGGATACATGGAGTTATTTGGCAAATTCTCCTAATATCTGGGGTTATCCGTGGTCAGGCCCTTCCACCAGTACTGCGTGGGAAAGGTTGCACCTTTACATGCTTTTCTAAAAATAACACTACAATCACCACGACATTTGTTTATGTAATTATGAGGTAAATGACCACAGGGCAAGCTAATTAATCCCCACTTGCCTGATTTTGCTCCACTTGTACAGGCCGCTAGCCATGGTGAAGGCACCGATCTCCAGCTGCTGCACGTGCATGGCAAAGATGCGAGCGCAAGGAATTGTGGGGTTTTTCACATGGCCCCCCTCCTCCATCAGACACATGCCATCGCGCTTGAGAAACATCTGACAAGAGAATAAATAATATAACGAATTGGAGATATCATAACCACAGTGGGATTGCCGTGCGGTGCATGTGTTTGATTAAAATAATTTTATACATCAGTAGAATATTCATGGATGCACTTTACACGTACAGTAAATGAAAGAGCACGAAATTTACATGAAATTAAGTGTCTACCTTGACATCATTCAGCTGGTTCATAATGTTTGCCACCTTTGGGGGAACGTGCTTCCATACCTGTAGTCACAACACATTACTTAGGAAATTGCTTAATTCACATGAGAAAGTACATTTTTAAATAAAGATAGGTCATGAATAGAATTAATAATTAAACCAGTTATCCCAAAGGACATATACTAAACAAAATTAAATTGACTTTCAATGATGTTTTTTTCAAGTTTCTTTACATATTTTTATTTTGGTTATTACTCATCAGTATGTTTATACTGTGGTAGCTAGGCAACATGATTTCTAAAATCAATTCTTATCAAATAAAATGTAATCACCATTGAACGGATATATTGCTTAATTAACGTATCTATAATGTGCAATTATATGGGGGCATCTATTAAATATGGGTTCTTATTCTAGTATTGAATTAATTAAGAAATTGTTAAAATATTCACATCTGCAAATTAAGGTTCTATTTGTCAAATGGAAACCGGAAGAATGGCATAGTCTATGTTAAAATGTCATTCCAAATTAATGACCAGACCTTTCAATATATATGTATGTGTGTGTGCGTGTATGAACAGGACATTTATTACATACTGGCAATTGTCTGACTATGATGTTCTCCATGCCTTGCAGTATCTGCATGCCGGTGGAAAAGTTTCGAATGTCACAGCAATGTTTGGCCACCCACAGCAGCTTGGACAGCACTGCCAGCTGACTCTGCAAAACAAAATGAACCAACAAAGTTCAGCACCCAGTGCCCAAACATTTAAATGCCAGAACAACGATGGTGGAATGCCAAGTCGGACCCTCGTCTGTCAGCCTGTGCTACGTGATTCGAGAAATGTGCTCATCACAGAGAGTAGCTGCTCGTGTAGTTATGCCAATGTTCTCCGAATGTTCCTCATTTACACGCGCCGCGTGGTGTAAAATAAAAAGACATTTTAAAAAAAATCCATCAAACCATGGCTTTATGATATTTGACACAAACACCTGGATTGTCGGAAATGAGACTGGAAAAAAATCTACAACTTTAAAGAAGATAGCATTGAAGTTCAGTTTGAGCACTTCCCGGATAAATAAAGACATTGTAATGCCATTCCACAGGAACCTCACCAACGCAAATTCCCTTCTTACTTTCTTCACCAATTATGGATTTCCTCACCAATTACATCCTAGTTGTGCAGGGGACAGGGTAACCTTTAATCATTGCCTCTGCATGCTTAGATGCTATGCGCGAGTAGGACTATATGTCTCCATCCGGCGTGTGCGTATATATTTCATGGAAGGAACCCCAAGGGACATAGCATGTGCGAACCAGGTGCGAGACGTTCATTGTAAAGCGCGTCGTGTTTTAATAGCCGGGTCTTCGCATCTTGTCCAGGGACATTGAAAACACAGTGGTGCATGTGTAGTGATGTTAAATGGATCACTACGACGCGTAGCGCCAAGTGCCGTAGAAATGGACACAGAGGCTAACACACCGTGCAGTACCATTCAGTGGGCTACTAGGGGCATGGTACTCAGTGCGAGCAGAAGGAAGCCAGATGAGTCCTACTGACAGAGTAGGGGATAACAGCCTCCACCAGCGCCGCAGGTAATCAGCACAGAGTCGGTCACTGGGGGAGTGTGGTGGAGGTGGCTGACGGTAGGGGAGGGCACGTGAGGACGAGTCACCCCGGCACCGGGTTAAGCACGTGATAGTCCGGGGTGAGGAGTGTGGGCCAAGGGTGAACGAGGGGACACGGGAAGAGTAGCTGAGAAACGTCTGGAGAGTTCCCGAAGGGGGCGTGGTTAAGGGCGGAGCCAGAGAAAGAAACAGGTGCGGTGTAGCCTGGAACCGTCAGAAATATTCCAGAGGTAGGCGCGGCCGAGGGCGGAGCCAGGCCGCGCCGGGAAGGATAAAAGGGGAGCTCCGATCACATATCGAGGCTGTCTGCAGGTGAAGAGGAAATCAAGTGCTACGTCTTCGTCTCCGTCTTCGACAACGTGGGTCAGACAGCACGTTGGCTGCTCTGACCCGATTATAGTTATCCCGCATGCGAGAGGAACAGATGTATTATGGTCCCGTGTGTAATGGTGTTACTTAAATGTAGAATTGACGTTGTTGCCTCCTAAATAGTGTCTCTGAATGACTCACTACAAATGCGTTGCGGTCACAATTACCGTAATGTTAAGCCTCTTGTCTCTTGCTGGTAAACAAATGTTTTTAGATTTATGTATGTATTTTTTTTAAATAGCTGAATAATATAATATCATGATCTATATCTCACAGTTTAGAAGAATTCAGGCCCCGGTGGAAATCGCATCGTGGTGGTCCCAGCTACTGGTGGTGTGGGAACTACGTGTACATGTCTTAGCACAATGCACTCTTAACCCGCAATTTGAGTTTGATTTCCGGCCATGGGTAACATCAGCGGTGCGTTATAGCTGAACTATTTCTGGGCTCCCGCTCCCCACAGCTTTACCAACTTGTACCAATCAGCCTGACAAAGTCGGGACAAACAGCGCCCACAAGTGACAGTCCGTGGAGGCCTTCAGAATTGGAATGACAAACCACTGTTAAATATTTATTTTCCAATGCCTTTACTGAAGTTGGTTCAGGAAACATTTGAAAAAATTTCACAGCTATATAAAGACAGACGTTTGTAGACACATTTATATGACACTGAGCAATATATGTGTTTGCTATATTTTATCATATATTTAAGGGGGTTTAGAAAAGATAGATTGGCGGCAATGAGCTACATGGTTGTATGATGTACAGAACTGTTGAATATATTCATGTAAGTACATTTTTGGCACTCAATCACTAACACTGCATTCAAAAATACATAGCTGTTATCATAATGTAACACATCCATTAGGGTATGTTAATTTGTGCATTGTATTGAAGCAATTATCACGTCTCTCCTTCTACATTTTTTAAAATAATTTCAACAGACCATCAGACTGAATATAAGAAAACACCAATCCCTCAGAAACAAATATCAAAAGATAACAGTTGCCTACTGAGCATTTGCGACGTGTAAAAATAACGTGCACATTTTCACATGCAAATACGTGTTTTTTTTCAGGCGTTGAGTAAAACTAAATGAGCCCTGTAACACTCAAGGGTAATCCACAAAGGCTGGAAACAGCCATTACCTTGGCACCATCACAGGTGACAATCTCAGCAGAGATCCACGTGCTGACTGTGTCAGAGTGCTCGATGAGACGAGTGATGGGATGATCGTTTGCGCACTCCGGCACGAACAGACTTGGTGGGTCTGTGGAGGCAGGCTCTGCCGTGGGTCTGAAAAACACGAACACGCAATAGCGGAGGGATTCAGCCCCGTAGAGTTCGGGCGCCCTGGATGGAAGATATAATGAGTCAATTGCCCGATTAATAAACGTGGAGGTTTCACGGCGATCTGCTGCTCTACTGCCGATGCAATTATCTGGCTCAATCATCTCAATGTAAAATTATATTTATTGCTCTACACCAACATCAGCTCTATAAAGTAGGGGGGCTGGAGGGAGCTGAGCACCCCCTCCCCTTCTGTAAGCTCAACCACCCTCTCCTCTTTATTAATTCATATATTGAAGTCAAAGATGACTGCGTTCTACATATTGTAATTACTTCACGCACACACTGCCTAATCGGCTTAGGTAACCTTATTTTGATTTTCAAGCTTCATTTGATATTAAACGTATGTTATACAAACTGTCTGCCATACTCGGTGGGGTCTCGACAAATTGGAAACATTTGTACAATTAAGCGATGGGCCCATCGTAGCCTTTCCTATTATGCGCGAGGGATTGAGAGCTACATGTATTATAGCCTTTAACACATTCTTTAACGTTAATTTAACTGTGACTGTCATGACCCCCCTTAATTTTTTGTATGCCCCCCCTCGCCACTCTAAATGTGGTTGGAGGACATATCAACAATGTTGGAAAACAGTGACTTCTGACACAGGAAATGTTGTTCAGGATTGGGAGTCATGGAATTAAGAATAAAGGCTACAGCTTGTACTGTAATTTATGGTTTGAATGAGATTTGATTTTAAGGCAAACACACCGCTCAGTCTCACTTGCTGTACAAAACACACACCTGTTACAGATCCCATTTTCTCCGGACACTGTTAGAGATAACTGCTGCTATGTGATCGCTTATTATGACCCGAGTGGCTCAGGTGTGGGTTATAGTGACAGAATGATGGCCAGGTGCCATCATCTCTCAAGTGATGGTGTTAACATACTGCGAAACCAATTCAATTTTGGCCACGTAAACCCAGGGGTGGCCCAGAATGGGCATAGATACCACTTTCTCGTGATATTTTGCCAGTTGAAAATGAAGCCTAGCTGACAGGGGGTTCAAGCATATTCGATAAGCACATAGACAGACACATACATTCAAGACTGGAGGTATACAAACTAACCCATCATAAAGGAATGCAGAGACCACAGTCTCAATGAGTGCAATGAGAGCTATGATAATAATAATAATAATTGATGTGGGCGTTATGGTTCGGGTCATCAACCAGGGTTAGGAATGTTTAAAATAATCCTGCTGAGCTAGCACATGTGTTCTCTCACCCAATTGAAAAGGTTTACATATGGCAACACCATAAAATCTGTGATTTACTGCAGCCTGTTGTCGTTCTTTATGACATTATTCTCCACCATAAGCTAGCACATGCTGTAACTCACACTAACAAGTCTAGAGGTGGTCGTAATTATTTGGTCGTCCACTGATGAAAACATTACCATGTGAGCCACACTGCATTTGCAGTGTCCGGAGACTTCTCTTCCGTGGTTATTTGGCCATTGTAAAGCCACTTATAGTAGAAAATGTACACATTCCGAACGTATAAAATAAATAGATTTACAGCCCTATGTCAATCCATTGCTGGATAAAGGCCTTCCGATTCCATGTCGGTTCATGGGGATTGTGCTGACCATAGTTCACCATGCTAGTCAGTGTGGATTGATGAAGTGAAGGCCCAGGACTGGGTCATATATTACTCGACACTGATTTTAGCCACGACCAAGCATAGATCTCAGGCTGCTGGGTTCATAGCGCAGTGCACTGACCACTGTGCCACCTCTTCCCCTTCTGTATACATAATGTGGTCCTCCCAAAACATGTGGATGTATTAGATGCTATTTGGTCCATGCGTGTATACGATAATTACATTTCGTATAGATTAGAAGTGTTTCAGAACTTATAAAAATACTAATTTAGAATGAAAAAAATGTATTTAATTTGTAGGGTGTTTAGAAGTTATAAATACTGATGAATGAGTGTCACATTGAATAATTAACCAATCTTAAACATCAACTTGAGTACTTTGACTATATGCTGTAAACAGCAATTATAATAACCAGTTAAGAAGTTTGTGAAATAGCTATCTAGCCAATGGCAGAGCCAGGATTTTCAGGTATGGGAGGCAACCCCTCCAGCAATGAAAAATGATAGAGGAGTTGTTAGTAAGTAAGGACTTGTTAGTAAGTAAGGACTTGTTAGTAAGTAAGGACTTGTTAGTAAGTAAGGAGTTGTTAGTAAGTAAGGACTTGTTAGTAAGTAAGGACTTGTTAGTAAGTAAGGAGTTGTTAGTAAGTAAGGAGTTGTCCCTTGCTTTTTATTCTACGCGTGTGCGGCGATGGCGCAGCCATCGATCGAGGGTCGAATTTGAACCGCGTTGTGTGATCGGCATCGCGCTCGCTGAAGGTGTTGATGCCTTCAGGGAAGTCGTGGACTGTATACGCAACTGTGCACAATTCTGTGAGTCACTTATAACTGCTTTGCCGTTAGTTATTGCCAATTATGGACTCAGACTGTTGTCCTATCATCTCATAGAGTCCCTAGCACATAATAACATGCTACACAGTGGTAGCGGGGGTTGCAAAATGCCAATTTATTACTAATAAACCCCAATGATCCGATCGAAATTAGTGTATCTAGCCATGTGTCATATTTTTGATTACCTTCATATGGATGTATAAAAAAGAAAAAAAATACTCAGCCAGAAATATGGAATTTGGGAATGTTGGATGTTCATATTGATGTGCAGTGGGACACGTTGGAAACAAGATGTTCTGACCTTAAAGGCCCTGTTTCTTTCAGCCCAAGAGCACGCGTGTTCATGAAGTCAACCGGGTGGCATTGGAGAAAGAGCTCCTGAACAAGAAGAGTGGGGACATTTGCAATGGATTATTGACATTAAAAATGTACCGTAAAAATAGAGTGAACGTAAATAACAATTATGTCACGTCTACTTGGAAGGTAATTTGTTAATAAAATATTAATAATTTACAGCCCGTTGTCAATCCATTGCTTAATGAAGGCCTCCCCACACCATGCGGGTCATGAGGTTGTTTGACCATACACCACACTGGTCAATGCAGGTTGCTTAAGGGAAGCCCAGGACCAGTTCAGATATCCCTCGCCACTGATATTAGCCATGGTCAGGAATCGAACATAGGTCTCCAAGATCATAAAGGAGTGCAGTAACCATGTGTACATAATATAAAACATTTCTTATCAGGGCCAAGTGAATTGAACATTTGGACACGTTTCATAATATAATCAACAGCTGCTGCAATGCACAAGCAAGTACTGTAAAATAGGTGTATTAAATTTAGTCTGTTGTAACATTGCTGCTGGAGGGTAACGTGAATGTCAATTCTTTTACCATCGGATCAGTTTCAAAATAAATTACAAGTCTAATTTAATTGAGATGTTTTGATGTAATTATGTCTCCTTTGAAAAACATACATTTGATACATGTTTTGGATTACAAGTTACTGCAGTACAATATGTGATTAATGAATATTGGAAGACAATTTTTATTATTTGAATTTAAACCGTAGCACTCTGCTTGAAATCATTTCCCGGTCATATATTTTTTTAAGTTGGTTTAGGTGGCCAGCTATCTCAAAGGTCAGAGCTTGAGTGTATGGGTTCAAATCTGGGCAGACCTCTGATTAAACTGGCTTCTCAAGTGCATTTAGTTTATAGTTTGATCCCCATCACCAAGGAGATCACATAAAACAAACCCATCATATTAATTTAAAGTTATGAACCGTGGACTGCTCCTGAAGATGGGGTGGTGCACTGATTGGTTATATGTACTTCGTTTTGTGACAATTGGGACAAGTTTGGTGAATAAGACAAAACTGTTTTTTTTTTCAGAGGTAATTTGCCTCCGTGTAAAAATATACTTAATTCAGGCAAGGCTTGCCGAGGCCCGAGACTGTTTTTGAGGTATGTGCTGCATTTGGATGTGTGCGGCCAATTCCATTTTTAAGGACTGTTTTTTGCATGTGGGATAAAAGCAGAGCACTCGGATAAACCCCATGCATACAAGATGATAACACTCTAGGCAGGAACAAATCCACTTGCTGAACTGACATCAACTTTGCCATTTAACCCTGGATAGTGATTCAGTATGATTGAAAAATGATGACGTTGCTATAGCGACAATAAATTATTTTTAGTTTTTTTTAAACCAATAGTTTTTTCATGCAGAATAATCTTAGGATAATCTTTGGTTTCACCTGCTGCATCAACGAGAGCTGCTGAGCCAGCCGTAGCGCTGTCACCTCGCGATGACTGAACAAGGTCTTGTCTGCTGCCACAACGCGGCACGTTGGGATGTACAGCCATGGGTCAGCAGGGCCCGCCAGAGATTTCCAGCCCTTCCCCTTGTCCCTCTCCTTCGCAATAGCCCTCTCCCTTTCAAGACCTCTCTCCCGCGTGCCTATAGATGGCGATCCGCCATCTGGCCTTCCGGCCCTTCTGCCCAGTGGAAGGCGTTTGAGGGGAGAACTCTGTAAAAATATATATGTTTACATATATACATGAATAAGCAGACAGGACATGTACAGGGGTTCTCAACAGGATAAACACGAAGCTGACACATTTTAAGCTGACACGAGTTAAAGTCCTGTAGAACGTTTAATGTGTTGGGTGAAGAAAATAATATCCTTTAACATAAACATTGTGTTTATGATGATGATGGAGAATAAAAACAGTGCAAACAAATGTGGGTTTTGTTCAGGTGGACCAAGGGACATTACCGGACATCTGTAACTACTGGACACCTGGGAAACAGAGCTTCATAGCTCGTCGGGGTTTTGCAAGATAAATAAAGATTCTGTTTCTGCTTAAAAACGTATAGCATTCAGCTATCTCTGCTGACGGTCTGAATTCAAATCCAAGCTTCATCCACTCAAGCTTACAATGAACTCTCAAGTGCAGTAATTTAAACAATAAACTCAACACCAGTTTAGACTTTCAGGGTCTTTTCAGCCGTGCATGGCCTGTTAAACAACCTCAGTTGGGATGCCTGATGTTATAAATAAGAACACTTCATGAACAGTGAGACCTGTTAAACCTGTGGTATACCTAATTTGTACAAAATATAGTATGCACTGCCATGCTGGATTTTATTCATGAACGGAATTTTCATGCACATTTAGGCAATCCATCTGCATTTGTACAAAATGCCAGGCACGTCCAAAATGTTGACTTTGGAGTCAAAATCAGGACAGGGTTTACCTGCTTAAAGAATTTAAGCAAATATATGTTCAGAAGCACCATATAATATTATTTGTCATTGAATGTCTCGACATAGTTTTGTAGTGTCAGGGGAATATTATATGATGCTATGTTGACTCCATTCATTGATACAGTACATGCCTTCGTAAATTAACATGATCTGAGGGGCACAATTATGACATAGAGCAATTCAAAATAAAAATCCCGCCCCCCAAAAAAATATAAAAAATCCATTGAGCCAAATACACGTGTTGACAAAAAAATGTAGTTATGACAACATTGGGTCGAAATAAATGTCCAAATGACTTTACAATCTGCCAACTGTTTTTTTTTCCCTCCCAAAAACTAAACAAAGACGTGAAAAACATCAGAAAATAATTTCTGCCAAAACATAAATCAGGCCACGTTCTTCTCAACTGAATAACTTGACCTCTTTACCTTTTTGCTTGCATCTTCCATGGGCTGCACCGGAATTCTGTCAGATTTGATGAACAGGGGCCCCTCTTCCACGCCCACGGGTTCAGTGATCGGGGCCAGAGGGCCAACCACACGACTCGGGCTTTCCCCACTCTCGTGCGAGCGCAGCAAAGCCAGCAGCCGCTCTGCACGCTGCTCCTCTACCCAGAGCTGCCCCAGGTAGACGGAGGTGGATAGAGACAAGCAAATAATTTACACACATACCGCAGATGCCAGTAATTATGGCGGGTGCCGAGGGAAGCTGTGTGGGTAGTTGATTTGATTAAAAATATTGAGTTAACGATGCCCATTTCACCAAGATGACCGTATTAGGTGTGTTTAAGGAAACGCGAAAACACGTAATAGGTGGGCCGCGAGAAGGCTACCACCTCTCAGGAGACACTTTCATTCGAGACCAAACATTGCACATCCTGGCTTTGATATTCTGGTGTAACCATCAACCGCATCATCTCCTTCATGAAAATAAAATTAAAGACGTGCGACCATAAATCACTGAGGTCTGAGCTCCTTCAAAGGAGGAATAGCAAAACGACACAAACTCTTCCCTGAAGCTCTCTCGAGGCCAGCAGACCTCAGCAATGGCATTGAGATCCTGAACATGTTGTCATACGCAAGAATAGAATATAATGAAAACACTACTCATATGCAGTGCCTCGCAGACAATTACGATTAATTTACACAATAGCTCCTCACTGAATCTCAAGACTATTTTTCAGGAGGGTCCTGTTTTTAATCTTTGGCCAATTTACCATTGAGTATTTCGCACTTTGGAGGAAATGTAAGTAGCTAAAAATATAAATACGAATTCACAGCCCTTTGGCATTCTACCCCTGCCCATGCTGTGTTGGTAATGGTGTTGTTTGATCATAATTCACTGTGCCGGTCAATGGCAGTACCACTGTTTACAAGCCATATCATAGTCCTACAGCTCGAGTGCCTTGCACACGATCTGATGAATGTGTAATCAACCAACACCGCTTGGACAGCAATGGATTGCAGGCATGCACCATCGCAACGGTGATTAGACAAAGACTTTGGCTGTGTTGCATCTTATAGGACATTGCAGCTAGCCAAAGGGCATGCGATTTTTATTTTTTAAATGTTTCATTATGTAAATGTGCAGTTGAGAGCATGCACTCATTCATTAATATTGCAAGTAAAACGAGCTTACTTTCTTCTGGATGAAAGTCTTGAGAAGCTGCCTCATTTCAGGGTTGGGTTTGAAGTCGATGTTGTAACAGTCTCCCACCCAGAGACTGAGGATGTCCAGGCTCCGGATGCGAATGCTGACGACCTCCCGAGGCTGATTGACTGCCCCACTGGGAAAACATGAATTGGAGTTACGTCAAATGCATTTACATGGAATTAGTACTTAATTGAATAGGCTGTAGGAAATGGGTGAGGTAAAATACCCACTGGCTAAAAGAGCCAATTGTTGTTTTCGCAAATGGTTCGGTCTAATTACAGTTATCTCATCTATGCAACACTTCAGCCAAGTGTGCTCTGCATTATTAATCCTGAACAATCGTTTTAGAAAACATTTAAGTCGCAAGAAATAAACAAGTCGGTGGCACAAGATGGCATGCGATCGTTTAAATAATAGTACTATGATACATTTGGTGTGCAAAATAGCCCCATCATGTAGAGATTTTGTCAAAAAATATCAGGAAAGGTCCTTCCACCCATGCGTGACTAAGGTAGATGGTGGTGCATATTTGTGCGTTAAAGCTACCAAGATTTTATGGACGCCATACACCAGGGGTCGGGAACCTATGGCTCGCGAGCCAGATGTGGCTCTTTTGATGATTGCATATGGCTCGCAGATAAAACAAAATATTCTCACTTGTTTTAATCCATCCATCGATTTTTCACTGCGCATGTCCTGTTCAGGGCTGCAGGAGCAATTGTCCATTATTTTAATTGGATGATACTGGCCTACGTTTGCCGTTGCTGGGTAAAACAGGTAAACGCCCCCTTTTGAATCAGTCTGAGACTGCGTCTGCTCGGTCATTAGCTCAAAGCTAACCCTTCGACGAAGAAGATGGCGAAAAGAAAAAAAGACGACGAGTATCGTACATTTCAGGACGAATGGACCGAAGAATTCGCCTTTGTGGAGAGAGCGGGTTCTGCGGTGTGTCTAATTTGCAATGACAAAATTACATCGTTGAAACGGTCGAATGTAAAGCGGCACTTCGACACGCGCCACGCTACCTTTGCATCAAAATACCCTGCGGGAGACAGCAGAAAGAAAGCGTGCCAAGAGCTTCTGAGCAGGGTGCAAGCTAGCCAGCAGCAACTCCGCGTATGGACCCGGCAAGGTGACTATAATTCGGCTAGCTTTGCTGGTTCTTTAGCAATAGTGAGGAACGGAAAACCATTCACAGATGGCGAGTATGCTAAAACGTTCATGCTGGATGTAGCCAATGAACTTTTTGATGATCTTCCGAACAAAGACAAGATAATCAAACGGATACAAGACATGCCTCTGTCGGCAAGAACTGTTCATGATCGTACCATCGTGATGGCAAACAAAGTGGAGGAAATGCAAGTGAAGGACATAAATGCAGCGCCGTTCTTTTCTCTGGCTTTGGATGAGTCAACAGACGTGAGCCATTTGTCGCAGTTCAGCGTGATTGCAAGATATGCTGTTGGTGACACACTGCGCGAAGAAAGTCTTGCTGTTCTGCCATTAAAAGGGTCCACAAGAGGTGAGGATTTATTCAAGTCTTTCATGGAGTTTGCTCAAGAAAAAGGTCTACCTATGGATAAACTTCTCTCAGTGTGTACTGATGGTGCTCCGTGTATGGTGGGGAAAAACAAAGGATTTGTGGCGCTTCTCCATGAACATGAAAATAGACCCATCCTAAGTTTCCATTGCATTATACACCAGGAGGCACTTTGTGCTCAGATGTGTGACAGGCAGTTTGGCGAAGTGATGTCGCTGGTCATTCGTGTGATCAACTTTATTGTTGCCCGAGCCTTAAATGATCGCCAGTTTAAAACACTGCTGGATGAAGTTGTAAATAACTATCCTGGTCTGCTTTTGCACAGCAATGTGCGTTGGTTGTCAAGAGGGAAGGTGCTTAGCCGTTTTGCGGCTTGCCTGAACGAAATCCGGACTTTCCTTGAAATGAAAGGCGTCGGGCATCCTGAGCTAGCCGACACCGAGTGGCTCCTCAAGTTTTACTATCTCGTAGATCTGACTGAACATCTGAACCAGCTCAACGTGAAAATGCAAGGCATTGGAAATACAGTGTTATCCCTTCAACAAGCTGTATTTGCTTTTGAAAACAAGCTGGAGCTTTTCATCACGGATCTTGAAACAGGTCGTTTACTACATTTTGAAAAACTGAGCCAATTTAAAGATGCATGCACAGCAAGTGAGCCCATTCAAAACCTTGATCTCCACCAGCTAGCTGGCTGCACATCCAGTCTCCTACAGTCCTTCAAAGCACGCTTTGGAGAATTTCGTGAGCACACTCGTCTTTTTAAGTTCATCACCCATCCAAACGAGTGTTCACTGAACACAGCCGACCTGAATTACATCCCTGGTGTCTCCGTCAGAGATTTTGAAGCAGAAGTGGCTGACCTGAAGGCCTCAGACATGTGGGTGAATAAGTTCAAGTCACTGAATGAAGATTTGGAAAGAATCACACGACAGAAAGCGGAGTTGGCGAGCAAGCACATGTGGACAGAAATGAAAAAACTCCAACCCGAAGACCAGCTGATTCTCAAAACTTGGAACGCGCTTCCTGTCACATACCACACACTGCAGCGTGTGAGTATTGCTGTATTGACCATGTTTGGATCTACGTATGCATGTGAGCAGTCATTCTCACATCTTAAAAACATCAAGTCCAACCTACGATCACGTTTAACGGATGAAAGCCTCAACGCTTGCATGAAGCTTAACCTCACCAAGTACCAACCCGACTACAAAGACATCAGCAAATCCATGCAGCACCAGAAGTCGCATTAATGGTGAGTGTTATAACAACATTATTTAAAAGAATAAATTCAGAGGCTTATTATACTGACATTTAGTTGAATTCACTTTTAAAATATATTATATGGCTCTCACTGAAATAAATTTCCAAATTTTTTGCTTTCATGGCTCTCTTAGTCAAAAAGGTTCCCGACCCCTGCCATACACTATACTCATAATTATTGTAACTCTCCATTATTTATCTCGAAAAGCCTTCCTGAGCATCAAGACCATACTTAAAAAGGGTCCTGCATTGGGATTTTTGGCCTATTCGTTTTTTATGAGCGGTGTTCACGTGGAAAGAAACAAGCATACCTAAAAAAAAACAAAGATGGGCATGCCACTTAGAAGTGTGCAAAGGTTGGTCAATAACAATTGCTGCACTGCCATCCCTTGGCCACTTTACAGCACAGAATCGGCAGCACGTAAAATCTGCATTTCTTACCAACCCCGTCTTTAAAGTCAAGGATTACAGGCTGTGCATACACATTGGGCAAAATCCATTCTAAAACTTCTTACTGGACAACGAATTCTGCAGGTCTGAGTGACACCTCCGATTAGCACGGTTGGCTACGTACAGTGCGAAAGAAGTTCAACATACGTACATACATATATGAAAGGGACGGTCACTACAAACCCAGTTGAGGATACAAGTCACCACTGGCCGGTAGGGTAGTGAGAAAGATGGGATCTTATCGCAAGCCTGTCAGCCTGTCTGGCGTGAGCTGAGAAATGTGCTAATCATGGAAAGTGACTGCTCATGTATTTATGCCAATGTTCTCCACATGTTGCTCATTAACACGCGTTTGGGGTAGAAAAAAAGCAATTCCTTAAAATGTATTAACCATGGCTTTATAATATTTTACACAAAGACTTGGATTGCAGGAAATGAGACTGGAAAAAAAGTCTACAACTGAATCCTTGAGTGCTGAGAAGATTGATTGGATAGAACCACACAATTTTGATAACTTTGCATATCAAGGGTTGCATAATAGCAATAACCATGTGACAGCTGAATGTAATATAATTGTGCCTATGGGCAAGAGTATTGTGCACATGTGCTGCAGATTTAAGCAAATCCTATTGGCTGTAATAACATGTCTAGTCAGATCACGTTCAAATGTGTTCCAATCACGTGGCTCTCTTAATCAAAAACATGCTCTACAGAGCCACATTCATTGCAAAAGCCACGTGAAGTGCAGGCTAATGTGTGTCACACATTCAATCCAGAAGCTGCTGTAAAGCAAACATCTACAATCATTTCAAGTGGACGTTTTTGTCAAGTGCAGTTCTTTGGCAGGCATGTGGCCTTTGCATGCATGCTGTCAGCAGTGTTAGGGCGTGATGCTGTTACACACTGCAGCGATGGCTATTGACAGAGCTGTGGAATCAGTGCCAGTCAACAGCTGGTGCTTATAGTTGATGGATGAGGTTATTTATCCTGTTATACTAATACCATTGAAAGCACCGAGCCAGAATTCCATTCCATTCAAATCTTTGCCTGCAAAGTTGAACCATGGGATGTGAATGATGTGCACTTGCACAACTTTGCCTGAAGGGGGCAGTCAAACACTATTATGAAAGCAAACCATGCTACTGAGGAAAGGAAAGGATAATACGGTGTTTTGACATACACATCTTTAAAAAAAAAGCATTTTTCTAAAGTATAACATTTATAATGGTAAGTAGTCACTTTCCAGTGCTTATTTATATGTGGTTCATGTCTTTAGAAAAGTAAATATATGTTTTATTGCGCATCTACTCGGGTCCTCTGAAAAAGATAGACAAGGAACTATTCAACAAAATTAACAGAACATTATGCAAATTAGTTGTAGCAGAAAAAAAACTACCACAGGTAATAAAATTTCCAAAATCATATCTTAAGCAGTGTCCAATGTACTGTACTGTATTTTTTGAAACACGAGAAATACAAATTTACATGTAAATATGGCGAAGTGAATCTCAGCAGCACGGCTATTGTGATACATTTTTGAATAGCGTAATGTTAAACTCCAGTATGTAAAAAAAAACATGCGTATTAAACTGAAAATTGCACTGCAACCACTGCCACTCTGGGTGGAACAATTCACCTCCTCGGCGATTTTGTGAAGTGTCAAGAATCAGGATCGAAATTATTTTCGCTTTACCGTCAATAATAGTGCCTCCGGTAGCTGCAGGAGTAACGTGAACCCATTACTTACAAAATACACTAATCTAAACTCCAGTACTGTGATCAATGCTTTACACACCTGATTTGATCCACTTATCCTGAGCATGAGAATTGACATGAATACATGAAATTAATGCATCGTTCCATCCCTATCAGGCAGACAATATATCCGTGTCGTGATTGAGAGCATTCTAAATGGATCTACATGCAACAGACCTGCATGTGGCTTCCAGACGCTCCAACAGGAACTGTAGCAGGTGGCTGGGCACACAGAAGTAGCGGAAAGTGTACAAGAAGTGATGGATGAATCCGTCCACTGCAGCGAAGCTGAAAAACAGTGCAAAGTGTGGGTCAATTAATCAATGTTCATTTGCATTCCAACTGGCAGTCCTGTACTTTCTACATTGCTTGGAGGAAAACAAATGAACCTCGCTTTGTCGCTCGTGGTGTGGAATGTGGCGAGAAAAAAAGGTACAGTATTTTTCTTTGCATGTGTGTATACTGTGTTAGTGGGGAGTGGTGGCACAGTGATTGCTGCTACAATCTTAAGAATGTGGAATCGATTCTTGACTTTGCAAATCATTGGGCGATTGCATCTAAACATGCCATAGGTCTCCTCTCGGTTAACTTGTGTAGTCTGTTACCGTTCTAAGGCACACAGATTCAAAAGCGAGGGTTTTCTGGCAGTGGACGGTTCTATTGCTGGGATATGATCTACTGGATTATCAGAATGGATGTGTTGTAAGTCTGCTTTGTTTTTGTTGACCAATCATACGTGTGGTATAGCACGGCGAAGGAAATCTGCCATAGTTACATCACAATATAAGACAAATTCCCCTATGGAGCCTATACAGGCTGTTGAGGCAAATTCTGCGAGTGAACACCTATTAAGGCCAGCATGGCACATGAGGGATGGTGTGGCCAGAAACACGCCCAGCTAACCTTTGTCTTCCCAGTGCTGACTTTTACACACCGCACCAGGTACTCGTATAAGGCTGAGTCGGCCTAGAGGATGCGCAGGACTGGTTCAGATATTTGCCACCTATATTGGTCATGAGCAGGAATCAAATTTGTATCGTCAGGTTCGTAGTGCAGCATTCTAACCACTACGCTACCACATCCCACACCTACACACTGCAGGCGTCTGGAACACACGATTTCAGATGCGCCTTTGCGGCCGTCTGGAACGTTCTTCCTTCCAATATTAGGAAGCCACTGGAGCTATCCACTTTTAGACCTAAATTGAAAATATTTTTTTTAGAACTGCATTTTGTGTGGAGTTTATTGTCCTTCCCCTGCACATCCGATTAGCCCGGTTGGCTATGTGCGGTGCAAAAGCAATTCAATATACATACATACATGTGTGTGTATGCATGTGTGCTTGGTGGGACAGTCATCGAGTAACCAAACCATCGAACTAGTGATGAGGGGAACCCCTGGTACTCATCTCCGTTGACAGCTGTGAGCCAGTGATGGAAATTCCACATTTCCTTGGCAGGCCACAAGCTCTCCAAAATCCACTAGCAGAAATTAATTTGATTGACTACAGACAGATGATGAATATGATATGATATAATTGATGCTGATGATCATCTTCTTTGGTTCTTTCGGTAAAGTCATGTAGAATGAGAATAAAATAATAAATTGATGAAATAAAATAACACAATAAAATTCTCACGACGTTTCGGCCACAACACAAGCGGCCTTCATCACAAGCTGATTATCATGTTAATACAGTAAAGGACATGATTAATATGTTGTTGCTGTTGCAACTGTTGCCACGGATAATACAGGATGATAAAGCATGATGACGCTAAATGATTGCATGTGTCTGTGCATGTGTGTCGCATCTCTGTGTATGTGTGAATGTGCAGTTATGGACTTCACAAGACATCCGGTAGAGGTGAATACTGCTTGTAATGCTGCAGTGGCTCCATCTCTGGGAAAGTGAGGAAAGCAAGCGTATGCAGGACTGTCTTCTGTAGTCTCACGCCACCACGTGGTAGCAGAGTGGATGTGGAGGATAGTTGGCAGCTAACAATAAACCAACCCCAGATATTCAAATGGCACAAATTGAAGCTCAGAATACAGGATTTCTGGCTTGTTTTACTGCATCACATTCACTGATTCGTTTATCCCACTAGCTTAATTGAACATTAGTATACAATGTACATAGAAATTACATGAATTGTAAATTGTATATTTCCTCAAGATAATTGTTTTTTTTACCCTTTTATCTGGCAACAAAACTGACACCTTTTTTTTTTACAAAGAGTCATGTTTGCATTGACCACAATACCTGCGGTCGGATGACGCCAAAAGTACGCCTTTTGGCGTCATCTGGTCCAACACCATGTGAGACAAGTTCTAAAGAAAGCTGTCTCGGGTGTGGACCAATCAATTTCAAGGACAGTTCATACATTATCAGAGTTATGTTTTGTGTTTGCATTCTGACCGCAGGTATTGTGGTCAATGCAAACATGACTCCTTGTAAAAAAAGGTGTCAGTTTTGTTGCCAGATAAAAGGGTAAAAAAACAATTTTCATATTTTGCTACTGGAAAAGGAGGTTCCAATGGTATTTCCTCAAGGTTTACATGTGCATTGTGCCGGTGAGAATCAAAGTAAAATTCATTAATCGATGCAAGGCCACTGCTGGCAGGAGGGCCTCTGCTAGAGGGAGCTCCAAAGAGGATATTTGGCCTATTCTTCAATGATAACGGTGCTTGGCCTGAATTTCTGGTCAAACTAAACAAATTATATTTATATTTTATGCACGTGTGTGTTTGAGAATAATTAGAACAATATTTCAATACAATACGTGAGATGTTGACTATTTTGTAAAATGTTGCCATAAAGATTCTACATGTATATACTAATTTAAGAATGTTTTTACATATTTTTTAATATTCAAAAATCAAGTACGATTTACGACATACATAGAATACTATTCAGTTATGTCAATAACAGACCTACTAATATGGAAGGGAGATTATTCTGTAAGAATAACAATGACCTCATTAGTTTTGGTGAAATGCAACATGCACTCAACACTCTAGAGCCTTCAAATTATCAAAGGACATTTTTTTTCATCTCTATAATTTTGTTAGAACTGGTTCCATAATGTGTTTTTTATTGCAATATTCATCTTCAATGTTTTTCAAGATGATTTAGTTACACGCAATTGTTTCTAGCGTGCCATCATTCTCATCCTGTCCTATTTATTGCATCTCACTCATGTCAATTCGTCTCATTAGGGGGCCTCAATTCCACCACTGTGACCCTCAGGCATTCCCTGAAGTCTACAAGCAATGAGACGATCCTTTTCGCAAGCCATGCAATAAAGGCCACTTCCTCCATCTAGTTACAATGACATGTTTTGCTTGAGGCGAAATATTAAATGCGTAATGCAGTATTATAGTATTGCAGTGAAAATATTTTTCAAATGCTGGCAGCAATATTCTTCGTTGTGGTTGAGCACAAAACTTACAAATCTCTCGATGAGGCCCGATGGTTTTAAAATCTATAACCACGTGTTGTGTACTTACTGTTTTGTTTTTTCATTTAAAAAAAAATATACATTATTCTCAATATGCTTTTGTCAGGATATGGCTTCTAACTCAAACTCCTGTGTAGCATGGTGATATGAGTAATTGGCGATGTGATTGGCAGTGCAGAAAAATCCACTGTTGCGTTTGTGTTCTGTGCTCCTGTGTCTATGAACCCAGCTTCACCCGGGTGGTTCTGTATGGTAAAAAAATAACCCCCACGACTCACACAGCTGGGGAATGCTCTTACCCAGCATTGGATTAACATACGCATAACCATGCTGTGGTTGTCCCACCTGATGACGATTGCTTTTGTTGCGATCGAAACGTCGTGATCTATTAATTTTTCTACCTACGTGACTTTACCGAAAGAACCAAAGAGTATGGATTCCTACAGTCACGAAAGCTTCAAATCAAGATACGCATAACCACTCCAGACAATTTAAATACCTGTAATTCTCCGCTTTTTCTAGTATTACGAGTTAACTCTTTTTTTTTGCCAATGATATGTATATCTAGTTGTTTTTTTAAATATATATAACGAGGCAACTCTACCGTCAGTAGTACCTGGAGTAGAGGTAGCACATGAGGGCGTGTGGCGTCCCAGCCTGCAACGTAGGACGAGAGGCTGCCTGGCCTGCATGGGCCGGCTGGAATACAAGCTCCGGGCTAGGGGGAGCCGGTTGCAGGCACAGCGGTGCGGGCGCTCGCCAGCCCAGGAAGGCCCTCAGCAGAGAGATTTCCAGGCCCCATTCGTCGGCGAACAGCAACTGCAGAGGTTTGGCACAGGGTGCCGTGATACGGCTCGTCATGTTTATGTGCGAGCCACCTGCTCGCCGCCTTTGCTCCACCGCAGCGGTGCGTCACCTACGACTCGTTGTGGCGATGTACGTTCATCTATAACGACGCGACCGCTTCGTGTGATGCATGATAAATGCGGCGACTCCTACAATGTCGTTATATGCGTTACCTGTACGTGCTCTCGTTGTATTATATATTTGTTTTCAAAAATGCACTCACTGCCTACGGGACACTGTATTCATTGAGAAATAAACGCTTGTGATCGTGCACCAACAGTTATTACAAAAGATTAACACATTCATCAATAACATCGAGCTAAAAGGAAATATATTGTATATAATAGGTGATGTTTCGGGTATTTTGATCTCTGGAAAGAATGGCTATTGCCAAACATGTTGCCTCATATATATATTCCTCTCAGGGCAGTGTTTTTGATGAACAATTCGAATGTTTGTATTCGTTTAACAATTTAAGGCATTTCCCTTGAGACTAAAGCACAATTTATTAAGGCCAATTGGCCAATATTGTTTCGTTTTTACTCTTAACAGAACATAATATTAAAATGCATCTATGTAAGAATTCACAAGTGTATGTACAGTAATCTGCAATCTATTTTTACCCAAATAACAGAAATGTAGCTTAAGGATGTATATTTTGAAGAAATAACATAGAGAGAAACTCGTTTTTTAAGTAAATAAAAAATATTTTTGGGTAATTCATGAAATACGGTATTAATGCAGATGTAGATCAAGGGCCAGTCACAATATCCAGAAGTCCTATTTTAAATGTAAATTGTAAGTTAAAATAAAAATTGGTTTTCTTTTACACTTTACTTTTTGCACAGACTTCAAACTTTCTCTCTGCTAGGCTGCGATTGATTTACGGATCGTACCTCAATGTATCTTTTTGTGGTTTGCAGGAATTCAATCTTCTCTCTCATTTCCTTCACTTGCTCTTTTAACTTCGAAAGCACACCTTTCGTTTCTGCGCATAAATCAACAAGAGAGGGATGCTGAGAGTAGCTGTTTCAACTGTCTTAACATTTCACAACGTGGCTGGGTGGTTCATGCACCATTACCTACGTACTGAGTTAGCACAGCTTCAATCCTGGCCTCGTATCATTTATTTAAATAATGGTGGATGAGCAAAAAGCCTAAAACACCAAGAGACCTGTAACAAACAGCACTATTAAAAATATAATAGACAAGAGTGATCATATTGTAAGCATTATGATGCACATTTCCTCTATTTATTTTAAAGCAAAAGTTGAGTGTGTGTGTATACACGTGTGTCCAGATTTATATAGCTTTAATGACACCGGGCACATGTTCGGAGTGCATCTGACTTTCTGGAACGTCAAATACTACAGAGAATATGGTAATGTGTTTCCTGTAATTGAGCAAGGTTGTTGGAATACCGTAAAATATATTAAGGGAATTCCAAAGTTGAGCAGTATGAGGAAGCGGAGAAAGAAGTCATTTTAGCTGGAGTAGGGTGGATCGTATGGATGAGATAAAAAAAAAATAGTCTGAAAGGCCAAGTGAAAGTTGAAAGAGTAAAATGTATACGTTTGTGGGAACTGGAACCATTGTCTGATGATATATTTAACATTAAACAAGGTTCTCATGTTAAGAAAGTAGGAGTTCTCTGGTTGGTCACAAAATAACTACAAATAAAGAGGTGAAAATCCTATAAACTTGGTATTGTATTACTCAAAGCCCTTAAATAGCCACCTTAAAAATGGATGACCAACATGCAGCAACCACTTTCCACCGAGGCAGGAAGGAAAAGCTGATTAATATTGTACAATGCCTTCTGAAGTGAATTAGTATGCTTGAAATAAATCCAGAATTGGTTTCATTTTTCCAGAACTATTAGATGACTTGGAAGTGAAATTTAATGCAATGCTGACATGAGGGTGCCTGGTGCTAAAAAAAAATAGAAATGTTTTATTGTTTTTTGTTCATAAATTATTTTTAAAATACAGCCAGTTCAAAGGTACATACCCATTCACTGACTACTGATTGCTGCAACTTGGATAATTCATAGCAAGCTCATATCTCCCCACATATCACCCAAAAGGGCAGAATAAATTATATACATTTTCTTAAACTCACTTGTGAATTCAGTTAAATATTACCCAGTGCACCATTCACCCTTTTCCATTTTGCTTTCAGATTGAATTCAATTTAAAATAAAAATAGCACGTACGTATTTCATCAAACAGGTCATTTCATACATTTTCCGGAAAAGCTGTTATGGCCCTTGCCATTATTGATCAGTGCATGATTACTTTTCTCATCGCACTGAACATTAAAATGAAACAATAGGGAAGGCATGTGGGGATAGATTTTGGTATCATTTAAAAGCACTGGGATATTAGATATGATATAGGGTGTCATCAAAATCTGCTCCTTGCAAGCTTGTTGATACTAAAGATAGCCTGATTGCCACATGTCACTCGTATCGTGTTAATCATCATCAATTCTCAATGACCAACATATTCTGAATGTTAGCACCCAAGTTCTGAAAACGTGAAGGAAAAATATGCAATTTAGTATTTCAACAAAAATATAAACATGTAAAATATGTAAAGGAAGTAAGAAATAAAACAGGTCAGATATAATGAACACCATGAAATACGTACTTTACAATGTTGGTCTTGGTATGAAATGTAAGACAGCAATCTGACCTTGTCAAGCATACAATGTGCTATACAAAGACATACTAAATGTATAAACACAACAATACATGCAAATACACGATATGATACATACCAGTACGTAAAACATGTGCGTGCCTGGTTTTGTGCTAAAACCTGAGCCTGGAGTTGACGTTGAGTTTGAGCAGAGATGCTAATTCTCTAGTGTTTTTTTTTCTTCTATAAACCCACAATGCTGTATTTATGCTTGCCGCACATCAGAATACTAAACTCGCTTTGTTTCTCAAAACACTTTGACCCAGTATGACCCCGTCTTCATGCCAGTGAAAGGGTTAACAGTTATCAAGGGGCTATTGTGAGGGAGAGAGGAGCCACCCACCTTTGCTGGCTTGACCTTGTTGGCTCAGCTTGTGAATCAGAGCTCTCGACTTTCTTAGATTCTTCCCTTCCAGCATAATCTGCTGATCCACCTCCTAGATACACATTACAAAACAAACATTGTTAAAGCCAAGGAATGTAAAAACCAAAGGTGCAGCCCTGCAATTACCTGTTCATGGCACTTGTTGGCAGAAGGGCCTTTACAAGAGGGTATTTGTCACTATGCTGGCCAAACATTATTTGAAGAGGTGGGAGTACCCACAATTTACCCCATAACACGTGACCTGCCGATCGACTGCCGTGTTGCCATGTATACTGCCGGGTTAACAGAGGAAGGGGGCATTAAGAGATTTGCCCTTTGTTTAAACTGGCTTGCCGGGAGATCACATTGAAGTGATAACCTCTGGAATGCCAAGGCCAGTGTGCTAACCCTTACATCACGGCAACGTGCAATTGTGAACTCTGTACAGTAATAATGTATATGTTTCCCTGGGAAAGCCTAACTAAGTCGAGATTATTTTAGAGCATTTAGAATTTGGGAGAAATATGTAGTATGCAGAGCAAACCCACAATCTCTACTATACAAGTAGACTTCTGGAACCTTTTTTATGCACTGCCACATTGCCTAGCAGAAGAGTGTTGCATGTAGGTTCCATACAGTATATGCATGATATACAAAACCCTGCATTCAAAGTCATTGCAATGTAGGCATATACTACCACATGGCAGTATGTTGCATATTTTGCGGCTTTTATTAAATAAAATAGTGTTCATGTGTTGCTTCAATATATTTGATGATAGATGCCTAAAAGCAATTGTTTTGCCAATTAAAATGTTTTCAAACCATGCATTTTAATTCATTTGGGGCAAACAATACTGAAGGTGAGGCATTGAGAATGCAGTACATTCATTCTTTTCATCACTTGCACTATTTATAGTTTGACTTACATAACTGTGAGGACAAACATCACACAAACATATACAGCACTACAGCACTATGACACTTTTCCATTAACGTGAACTTCACCTACCAGATACGACTGATGTAATTCGCTTTTTACCCTGAGCAGAAGTTTCTTGATATAAACATATAACAAATTGAAAAAAATTAGAAAGCAAGCCACCATTCATATACCCCTTATATTTGCAAACTGAAGTCATCCAGTATTTGATATGAAAGAATAACACATTTTCGCAGGAATAGCTTTAACGTGTCTGCAAGCCTGTGTCCATGCAAATTGCATTTAGCTAAGTTACACAATACACTTTCAACGATTCACGTAAACAGGTCATCTCCACACAACTATTTACAAAGCGGCCACGTTTCCACGCTGACCAACGTCCACCGCACGTGACAATGCTCATCGACGAACTGTGCTGTATCCATTGACATTGCTGTGGGTGGACAGAAGCAGGTTGATTTAAGAAACGTGCCCACTGCGATGAAACGAAAAACACGGAAATATCTACAAAGTCCCATAACACGCATTGCATGCCTGGTTTCGCACGCGACTCCCACGCACCAGCCTCAGAGACATCGTACCTGCAGCTTGGATTCCAGGTTAATGTCGCTGCTGCGTCGTGCCCTCTGCTGATGGACGCAATCTTTGACCTCGTTGCTGAAGAATCCCGCTCCGTACCTGAGGCTCTCCCAGGCCAGGAGAGGCTTCTTGAGCTGTTGAGACCCCTCGGGGCATCCCCGCATCTGCGCGAGACCACCCAGCGTGCCCGCCCCACCTGCTGCCATGGCCGCACGGCTCTGCGTTGCGCCCTCACTTGCAACCGATCCAGCCATGGAAGGGGCACTTTTTAGTCTTCGGCTAATGGCTCTTCTCGGCGGAACCCTTGATCTCTCGCTTCTTACCGATTGGCTCAGTGCATTGCCGCCTGCACGATCGTGCTGCTCTGTAGGTGCATGCAGCAATGCATACATCGCATAAAAAAAGATAATTTGTGAAAAGTTATATGTAATAATTAGAATAATCAATGCCGTCATCCCCACATTGGAGCATTAGTCTGCCAGTAGGGGGCGATGTTGCTATTTGGTTTCCACAAATAAGGCATTCAAATAACGACAGCATGACAATCTCAAAATAACTACTCTGTTTTCAATTGTTTTACCTTTCACACAAACGTTGAATATTTTGTGATAGATTTAAAAACAAAAGACAATATTACTGTATCTTGCATTAATCGATACATATATATTCTTTGAAAGTTTAAACCATATGACAGTATATTACAAAGTTAGCTTTTAAAAAAAATAAGACTCGGGTCACAAAACAACATGAAGCAGCATGTGCTAAAGGGCAGAACAAAAGTGCACGTTGCCAAACTACTTAGCAACACGAAAAGAAGCATAGATTCGTCATCTAAACATAAAATATCCAGAAAACAGTAAATATACCAGATCTTACCCCAACCAACCTCCATGGCTTTAATTTTACCAAGCCACGATGCAACACAATTTGGACCCGCTGCCAGTTGCAGACAACGGGAGCAACCCAGGAGAATGAGCGACCTCCCACGGAGCAAAGCTTGACTGGGAGCATTTGTTGCTAAGTGGTAATATAATTGTCGCCGTTTAATGCTCTCTATTTTTGGGTATAATTAAACGGTTAAATGAAAAAAAATCCAAAAGAGAACGTTATACCTATATTTTCATTAGAACGTAGAAATGCGGCATTTTAATTTGCATCGTTGTGACAGTTAAGGAAGTTTCTGTTCTATATGTACCGTCTTGGCTAATATAATCGCTGCTCTTTAAAAAACCAATTAATAGCAAACTGCTTTGAATAGCACATTTTTTTAAGAGAGACTACGATCACAAGAGTCAAATATTTTTTTAAAATTTGAATTGTGGTTAATGTCATTTAGATGTGGATTTGTGGTTAGTTCAGATCACCTGAGTTCGATTCCCGATTGCATCTGATATACGTGGAAAATTATATCGCAATGACCAGGGTGGTGAAGTATAATCAAACAATACCAGCAGTGAATTCAGCAATGTACTTTAATAAAAATGTATGCATTACGAACTCTATAAAATCAGATTGACCTTAGCCATAGCACTAATAAATATTCACAACTGCCCCACACCCATTTGAGCATTTGAGTAGGAAGGATACCAGACGTTGTCATTAGATGAGGGACATTAGACAAGCATACAATGACCAACTCTTGTAAATGATGATACCGGCTCATTACTGCCCCCTTCATTACAGACCAAGTGCATTAGGTATTCCCAACAGAACTTAACCGTGCAACAGTAGCAATTGAATCATTGACTCGGAGCAAAGTGGCCCCAAGTGGCAAGCTTGCCGATCATCAGTCTATCCGGTAGCCCCGATAATGCAGACTGGCAGTGCTGAGTGAAATGGCTCACCCCTGTCTGTAGAGGCACCGGCCTTGTGCAAGTCACGCGGAGGGCCTGTCTTGCGTTCTGTCTGCGGGGTCACCCTGGGCGAGGCTGTGGGATTGCCGGCTTGTGCGTCGGTCGGCTTCCTCACAGGTGTCACTTGGGCCAACGCGTGATTGGATTTCCCTTTTAATGAGCACACGGCAACATACAACGTGGCAATTCCATTACGTAGGCTCCTGAACACGTGTCCAAATAACTCAACGCGTTCGTCAATAACGCCGTGGCATTTTAAGAGAAAATAAATACGTATAAATAATACGTGATGTTTTGGGAAAATAGGTGAGTTGAGTGGGGCTATTGCCTGAAACGTCACCTATCATATTTTTTTTTTCTTATGAGGCAGTGCTACTGGCAAGCTTATTGAGTTTTTGTTATTTGCGCTTGTGCACCACTGCCAATGTAGTTTCAGCAAATAACCTGAACATATGTGCATGCAAACTGCATACACAGTGTAGAGGTGGCAAAGGTGCAGCTCCGCAATTTCTTACTCCCGCCACTGCCGGCGCGAGGGTCTGAACGAGAGGAAGCTCTAGGGAGCACCTCGTGGGGGTATTTTCAGACATCTTGGAAGTGGTGGGATTACTCACACTTTACTCCACCACACCTGACATGCCGATCGACTGTGGTGTAGCTATTAACATTACTGGGTTAAGAGGGGCAGAAGGGTTTAAGAAACTCGCCTATTGTTTCAACAGCCTCGCCGCGAGTTCAAACCGGTGACCTGCGGATTGCAAGTCCTGTAAACCGAATATGGTGATTTTATAACATAGGCTACTGAACATACATTTATGCGAGCTGCATAAATATATCTAGTGCATTTAGTAAGTTTAATTACTGGAGTAATGACTTTTGATAAGATTCGTTTTTCTTTTTTGACGATTTTTTTCAACTTAACTTATATGAAGTGATATTGTATTGAACATAATTTGCAGCCCCTTGTAAATCCGCTGTTTAATGATGGCCTCCTCAGATTTTTGTCATAAGGGTGGTTTGACCATACTTCATCGCACCGGTCAGTGTGTGTTGGTGTGGTGGAGGTTTGGAAATCCGCATGTCTCTCATGTTATCTACGACCAGAAAGCGAACTCGAGCATAGTGTCCATTAAGATATATGTGGTGAAATTAGTAGGCTTTTACAGTACAGTGTGTATATATATATAAACAACATTGTACCTTCGGGTTCACTCAGCTGGGAGTGTTCCATCATTGTGTGACTTGCATCCTTACTCCGAACTGGCTGGTAGCTCACAGAGGAAGGCACGTAACGGCTTGGGAATGTTTCTCTCTCCACCATGCCCCTTATCACATTCTCGTCGTCTCTGCTATCATCACCATCAGCCTCATCTTCATCCAACGCATCTCCATCTTCACTGGAGGTCGCAGAGAGCGGTGCCGATAGTTGGACGTCGTCATGGGAGTCGCTGCTAAAATTGGAGAGACGCACAAGTTTTAATTTGGCCCTCCAGTTAAGTCAGGTGGTAGCAATTTATGAGGCCATGCACATTATCCACCTGGCGCCAATCCTGGGCAAAACTTTACAGCAGTTTACGCAGCATTGACATCTACTGCATCCCCACGAGAGGATTCTATGATATCTGTATACAGCCCACAGAGAAAACAACTGCTCTAAAATGTTCTCAAGCAATCAATTATTTAAAAAGGCATTTCATTGAGATGTTAGTCAACACACCCATCATCGTTATAGTCTATGATACAAAATTCACTACACAGGTATGAAGCGCACATGCTAAGGAGCATGTTTGCAGATGTGAGAGCGCTTTGAACCAGTGATGGTTTTGAAAATTCATTACATATAAATCTGCTGTGAGAAGTTTATGTAAAATCAACACAGAAATATGAACGAGGGCAGCATGAATTGAGTTGTGGCATCATCAAAATGGTAATGTGAAAAAATCAACCGGGAACAATTTTTGTGTGGATATTAGATGAAGTCATAAACACTCATGGCATATAATATTGGTTGAAAACCTTTAGAACTGAATGCTTTTGTGCTTGCTGTGAGAAGCAACGAATAAGCAATTCTCACTTAAAAGATAATGTATTTGCAAAAATGTGGTGGTACAAAGTAGAAGCGTTTCTTCAGATGGACATCTCTGCAAACGGAGAAGAATGGCACCTATTGGGCACAGGCATTGCTGTTGGACACATGGATGCATCTTGGAGGACAGATATCTTGGAGGACTACCATGAAGATTCTTTCAGATGTTTACGTATATTTTTGACTACTTACAACAATATAATTGAATGAATACGAGTTCTGGACATTTGGTATTTGAACCAGGGATATAACAGAGGTGCTGTTTCACAGACGAGTATAGTCTGCCAGTAAGGAGGAAGACGATGTTGTTATGTGGTATTACCAAATCAAGAAATTTGCGAGCAATTTCGCAAAAGTGCTCAATTTGGACAGTGACATGGGTACACATGGCCTGATCGAACAGTATCACAGGCCCTGCGAACGATGCTACGCGTATCAATAGTCAACACCATTCACCAGGGTGGTCACTGGCGGTGGGTATCAATAGTCAACACCATTCACCAGGGTGGTCACTGGCGGTGGGTATCAATAGTCAACACCATTCACCAGGGTGGTCACTGGCGGTGTGTATCAATAGTCAACACCATTCACCAGGGTGACCACTGGCGGTGTGTATCAATAGTCAACACCATTCAACAGGGTGGTCACTGGCCGTGCGTATCAATAGGCAACGCCATTCACCAGGGTGGCTACTAGGGCTAAACCGAGCACCTTTGCAACGAGCTGCAAAATTGCACTTCTACATTGCCTTTTATGTCAGACAATGAAAAAGTAGCCCCCTACCAGCTCTTGTTTTCAAGTAGCCGCCTATCAGCTCTTGTTTTCAACAACGGTTACAATGTCCTTCTGAGACTCACTTTTATCACTTGTGTCACGTGCCATTACTCTCTTGTAAAAGCTGTCAAAAATATCCATGTTTTACAAACAGCTTGTTCAGTATGACATCGTTAAGTCCACTCTGTAATATATGTACGAGCATGTGAATTGACTGGTAAAAGGGAATGCGATTTTAAGGGAACATTACGTGAACATTTAATCATCTTTGCTATATAATCTAAAATGGCAAAAAAAGAAATGATTGCAGCTTGTACTTTAATACAAAAGGGAGCATTAAACCAATGCTGTCATAACAGAGAAAGTAAAATGTGAAGTTTTTTTTACAAGTTATAGTACTGTAACCTTTTTTTCTGACAGCTCTGCACCGTTACGTCTTAATTAGCCGTACCTGTCAGGAGTAGGAGGCGGCTGCCCGCTCACGGCCTCGTACAGGTTTTCCAAAAGTGTCTCATCCCAGTAAAGGTCGCTGAATTTCTCTGAGACTGCACTGCAGAAGGTCGGAAACTTGAGACCCTTCAGCGACATGATGTACTCAGCTGTCAACACAGAGCCGGCAGAAATGACAGGAATCGTAAGCATCCCAGCATGCATTGCACACGTGAATCAATAATCGAGTTAAACAGGTTCGTGAAATCTCAAGTAGGGTCAGGCAATATAACGGTAGATTGTACGATATTTCAATCCATGATGATTGCTTCGTCCGTTTTTAAAAAAAAAACATTCCTTTTTCGTGATTATCGTCGCTCATTTTAATCTTAAGCATTTTATTTCCTTGCAAAATACTCGGGAACTAACAAACTCGATTAAAGTTGTAAATAATTTACTATTATCCATTATATTGTTGCGACATGTTATTTTTGATAGTAACTGAGGGCATGACATTTATTATACATCATGATTTCAGGAGTAATTTATTATTTTTGTGCAACTGACAGTGAGCACATTATATGAGTTACATATTGTGATGATGAGAATAACATACTGTAAGCCTTTGTTTGTTGAACTGCAATTTAAGAACTATGAAGGATTACTTATATCTAATGGTATAAGTATAGCAAAGCACAACAATAATATAATAAATAAATAATGCGCAACTAGATGATTGGAAAACTGATATCGCGATGATAGTCATATGAAAAATATATTTTATTATATTCCATCGTCAAAAATGATATCGCCACAGCCCTAGTCTTGAGCTAGTGAGCATGGCTCATTCCATTGGAATTCAATTACATTTAATAATTTAAGTAGTCAGCCTCATGATATATATTATTTTTTTTACAAGGAACATTGGGATGATCATGAAAGGAAGACACTTTAACGAGATAATGGGAAATATTAAAGTATTAATTTGGAATGAACTAAATTTGCACACACGCACGTGCACGCAAGTAAAATAAAATTCAAAGTTTCACCAAGTCCTCCCCATCTACACTAACACAAAGACAAATGTTATGGCCATTAATAGACTGTTGGCGCAAATTCGATGTGCGAACACCCATCACGTTGCATGGAGCATGAGGGGTGTTATGGCCAGACCCAAACCATGCCACCTTTGTCTTCCTCGCGATATTTACACACCAGGTACTACTTTAAGGCTGAGGCGACCTAAGGGAGGCCCAGGACCAGTTTAGAAATCACTCGCCACTGATGTTAGCTGTGGCCAGAAATGAAACTCAGGTTGCCAAGTTCAGAGTGCAGTGTGCTGAAAAATGCACTTCCATTCCCCATTACACAAATACACTATACATACTTTTCGCACCTCCAATTAGCACGGTGGGCTACATACGGTGTGAAGTTCAACATAGATAGATGTGCGCACGCATACAAAGAGATTATGTGGTCAGCACAATGCTTGGCCATCCTTTCTCTCCATTGCTGGCATTCACACATTGCACCGGTAATCAGTTTTAGCTAGTTGCCTTGGGGGAGGCCCAGGCCACATTAAAGATTGCAAGGAGCAATGCTAGTGTGCAACGTAGGCAGGAATTGAGGGCCACCTGTATGGAACTGAAACAAAGTAACCAACTCGGTTGCACTAGCACTCATTGTAGCCCCACACATTCTGTGAATTCATCGTCATAAATGTATATACAGTGTGTTTTTTTTTAAAAAGATGGACCCGATTTGAAATCGCTATATCTTTGAAATTGGTTCCATCTTTTTGAAACACCCTGTATATTTGAGGAGTGGTGTGGCTAGCACCACAGTCGGCCACCAGGTATTAAAATAATGGCAATAGAAAATCATATTTGAATTCAACATGTACAGCCACAGTGAAGGAACAGTGATTGACAGGCACACTCATTAAAATACTGGCCTCAGCAACTCGGCAAAATAAGCAGGTGGCTAACAATTGTTCAATGTGGAAATTTCACACTTAAATGTTTCCTGTTCAATATATTACATAAGTGAGGCAACTTATTTTTACCTGTACCCCTGAAACTATGGGCAAAGTAAAATGTTTGCAATGGCTGGTATATGTATATGATTAAAAGTATTTATTAAAAAAATGGAAAATGCTATTTGATAATTCCTGTAAAACTTTTTTCACAGCTCACATTTGGACATTTTTTTGATTATCATCTAATTATCTGCATTTTTGGCAGGACATATTTGTAGGTTTAAAGTTAGTACAGTGGCAGTGGAAGTGTTAAAACGATAAAGGTCACATTATGACTTGTGCGCTGAAGTCACGATCGGCAGGACGCAAGTTCAAATCCCGGTCAGCAGATAACCGAGTCTATTGTTCCACTGACATGAACACAGTGAGTGCTACACTGTGGTAAGTAACCAGTGGACATCCTATAAATAGACGACCCTTGGTCGTGGGAATGTAGAATTTCCATCACCGGCTCACGGCCACCAAGAGAGATGGGTACTGCCTCATTGCACGTTCACGTTTGAGAGGGGAGAATTTGACTTTGAGTTTCTATTCACAATTCTGAATGCTGTAGCCACATCACTGCATGCATGCAAAGAGTAAGAATGCATTATTGAGTGAAACAACACGTAGAAAAATTATGCAGTGGGTACCACGCTGATAATCGTTTCCTGAATACGCACACCACGAGGAGACACCGCAGGGTTCACTCACCCACAGCCAGATCCTCTACCCCGTTCTCCATGTAGCCATCGAAAGCAAACTCCTCACGGATCAGAAGGTTAACTCTTCGCAGCGGGCCGCTAATGTCCGCCTCCGGTGCGGAGCACCACGGCGAGGCTTTCTGCAGGGAAGCTGGCGAGGACAGCGCCGACGACGGCAAACTAAGGCCCTCCGAGTCGACGGACGTCGGTGTGCCCTGCGACGACGAATTCGACACACCCCGGCTAATTACGTGGGGCGCTGCTGTGAGCTCCAGGGGAGCGCAAAACAGCGAATCGGGCTTTCTTTCCGCTTGAGTGCGCCCGGAGATGGCGACTGCTGCCTGGTTGGAACTCTTTACGTCAATCTGCGCGGGCCATTTGAAGAGCACCGAAGGCACGCTATGAGCCAGATGCGACTGTGTCTGACTGGGCAGGATGACAGGAACGAGTGTGAAGAGCCCCGTGATTGGATCCTGTTGGAGCATAAAATTTGGCACTTGGGTGCCCGCGGCCAGGATCTGGTCCAAGCTGAAGCTGGCGTTCGAATTGGGGGACGAGGAATCCGTTGCGCTATCGCTGGAGTCGGAGCGCAGCATCTTCTTGTTGCCGGAGGAGGCGTCCGCGCTTTGCTTTGTGGAATCAGGTGACCCGCTATCTGGCGAGACGGTGGCGCTCAAGGTGTCACCTCGGCAGTCTGCCGCAACAGAGCCCAGCGAGTTCCCCGTGCCGTCCTCTGCCTCGCCAGTGGCAATTCCCGATTGCCTCTGCGTGACTTCTTTGTTTACAGTTTTTATCGCCTGTTTATCTCCTGAGATTTTTGCAACACATCCTTCAGGGCTCCTGCAATACCAGGTGTAAACGTGCATGAGTTAATTGCCGGTTTTATATATGTTTTGCATATTACACAAAAGCTTTGCAGAATACTGCTATTTACACATGTACATACAGTACTTTGATTATATGTGTAAACACATGTACAATTTAATTGTAGAATTATAAATAAAGTGGCTGAATAGTTGCCAAACTCTATACAGCCAGGCTAACAGTAATTTGTACTGGAAGAAAAACATAGTCATCTAGTAATTTCTACTGAAATTTGTCTTCATAATAACATTAATGAATTATAATATTTCCTGATGACGACCGCTTGTGTTGCGATCGAAACGTCGTAGTTTTTTGTATATCTTCTTTGAACTTATCTAAGTGAAAGACCCAACAAATAATTATAATATTCTGCCAGTAGGGGGTGGTAATACCGCTATCGATGTTTCCAATTGTATTCTTGGTTCTTTCGGTTAAGTCACGTAGAAGGGAAATAATAAAATAATAAAAATAAAACAATACAATTCTCACGACGTTTCGATTGCAACACAAGCAATCATCATCAGGTGTGAAAAACCACAGCAAGAACATTTTTAAAAAGTGGCGTTTTTTTTCTTCAAATTTTCTTGCTGTGGTTTTTTACACCTGATGATGATGATTGCTTGTGTTGCAGTCGAAACGTCATTATAATTTTATTTTTCATGTTTATTATTTTATTATTTCCCTTCTACGTGACTTTACCGAAAGAACCAAGAATATGAATCCCTGCAGTCACGAAAGCTTTAAATCGAAAGTTTCCAATTGTGTCAATGTTGGTGCGAGCGGCGTGCAAAAACGGCCGTCTGTGATTCGCGCCGGGGGAGTTTGCTCGCCTGGTCGTTTCCCGGCGGAGGACGATGGGCTTGAAGTGCGTGGCGGTGGACGTGAAGGCCGTGGGAAGCTTGCCAGGGCTACCCTCGTTGGGGACGGGGCCCTTCACGGCCGTTAGCCTCGCCTCGGCTGAGATCGGGACGAAGCCTGGGATGCGAAAACGCTGTGCTCAGCATAGGGGCAACTCAAACCAGCGTCGGCGTTCAACAGAAGAGCTTCCTCTATTTAAAAGGGCTTCTCATTTTTCGTCACGAATGGGGGAAAAAAAAAGCTGAATGGCAGAAATGTTGCTCTGTCGACATCTGCTTATTGTTTACAAACAAAATAGTAGACATGATTTCTGATGACCTACTGGATGACAAGGCTGTCGATTTTGAATACATGAATGAATTAAAACCTACTTCTATAAAAGGTTGAAAACCCATAGGGCGAAATGTTTTGATATGCGTACCAATGCAAATGTGAATAACTAAAGAGATTACACAAACATTCATATTAAAAAAAACCCAATGAACATTTGAAAAATGCAAATTCCAACCTGATTTTGTCGGTGATGTTTTGGTAATGAGCTGCATATTCTCTGTGGCGGGCTTCTTTGTGTTGGTGTCGGCGGTGTGCTTGGTGCATTCAGAAACGCTCTGTGTTGGCATTTGGGGCTGCAGTGACTTCTGAGCCTCTGCTGCACATTGTTTCTGAAACAAGAGAATTATTATTTTTATTACTCCAAGTGAATTAATCTGAAATATCAACTGGTATTTCCCTTGCAGAGAAAACAAAAAAGGGCAAGACACATTAACACAGTAATGCAATAACTATTCTGATGGTGCAACTGATGATACATGGTTTAATAAAAGAAAATCATCCAGTGCTGGGAAAATAAAATGTCACGTTCGTTTCTTAAGTAAAATTATTCGCATACATCAGATAGGAAAAGTACAGAGGTTTTACAGCGCACCATATAATTTCAGGCCACGATATGAACAAAAAATACATATGTTAAATTACCTTTAAGCAAAATGCTTAATTATATGGTTGCTTTATATCCATTTAAAGACATGTTTTTGGGTAAAAAGTAAAAACGCTTAAAGGTTAAATCTGATAAAGGTCTCCCCAAGCCGTTACGCCATCTTTCAGGGTCTCGCAATGAACAATTACAATGTCATCAGCAAATCTGAGATGAAATACAGTATTCCCTCCATTTATAGTTCTCTAATAAAATTTGCTGAGAAAACGTCGCTGCGAATAACTTTGGTGAAAGCAGAGTTTTCATTGTCTGACTTCCCTTCTCATATGTATGTATTTGTCACTTTCTTATTTCAATCTCAGTAGAGAGGGGGAGTTGACAGTACGCATAGAGGAGTGGGATTCCTCGTCTCTCCAGAAATGAAATATAGAGTTATGTGTTTCAAGAGCACATCAGATATAGTCGCCCAGCCAACATTAAAGCTATTAGACCAATCCGAGTTAAAAATATGCCAAATGTTTCTCATCCTCAACATCAAAAGAATATTGCTCAAATTTTAAAAAGAAGCCCGTATTTGGTATATTAAGAGTGCATCACCGAGTTATTCATCAGGTCAATACATACTCAGTATCAAAAGTAGTCTTTTCAATAATAAGAAAACTGAAAATATTCAGTTTAGACAAGTGCCTAGTGTAATGGAAAATGATAAAGGAGGCTTTACAACTTAGCTTTTTAAACATTCCGCTGAACAACAAAACAACCACAAGGCTGTCAGAGATGAAATGACACAATATTTCAGCGGGGTTTTTTTTCCCCGCGGGGGAACTAACTATCGACTTTAGTCCGTTGTTGTTGTCCTTTTCATGAGAACAAACACAGAAGCCAAATCTGGTGAAGGATCCCAAAAAATGCTTTCACCAGGGCTTTCTGCATGAGCAATTAATACATAATAAAAGGTTACAGTATGATAAGCACCAGCTCTAATTTTAGACTATTTAAGATAAAGCCAAGTTTGTTTCATATCTATACAGTATATAATTATTACAAGTGGAGCAGACAACTGCCATATGGGGCCTGCCGCAAGGGTGATTTCACAGTTACAAGGAAAGAAATAATTGGAAAATGGGGAAAGTCTTCTAAACTAAACTATTTTTATTTTATCAGGTAAATCCCACTGAGCTATATAGCTCTTTTTCAGAAGCGACCTGGTCACAAGTGATTTCCCATCTTAGTGGCGTATCACATGGGAATGTATTGCAGCCAAACACTTTAAACGCACGTTCATTCTAAATGTTCAGTGAAAAACCGGAGGACCTGGAGAAAAATCCACCCGACCGCGGGCGACAACATGCAAACTCCAAAATATACAGGCATCAGGGTCGGGATCGAACCCAAGAGCTCCTGCACACCAGGCGAGGTAGTTAACATCTCCTAGCCACCGTGGCACCCCTTAACCCATCAGCGGGAAGCTACAGACTGATGCTGACAACAATAACAACACAATGCTTTCTGTACCTGGGTTTGCAGTGTCCGACTGCGCAAAAAAGCACACGTCTCACGGGACGATATCCCTCGCTTATCCTGATAGTCGCTGGATGCCTGGGAATGGGAACACAATGCGATGCTAGAATACTCCCATAACAAGAAACACGTACATTTCATGACCGTTTCGTAACAAGTAAAGGTGTCAGATTATATTACTAGGCGCAGAATCGGCATGGTATTAAATAACGAAGCATATTTTATTGCAATTATGCATTTCATGAGTGTGTGATACAGTATAGCTGAGTACTTGGTGTTTTCATGTAGTGTACTGTTATACTGTAAATATTGTGTGACACTCAGAAAACATTATGAACATTAAAAATATTACTGTACTCTTAGAAACTTACAAAGGAATGTCTGATATAATAACATTTTCAGATCAACATGCAGTATACGAAACAATGCAGACACGCTCTCACGCAAAGTCAAGGATCGCCCGTTATAGCCTTAACAGACTGTTGGGGCAGTTGTCCCGTCTCTCAGCCAAGCTAACAAGTTGACTCAAATGCTGTCATTGTGCACCTATTATGGCTCACACTGTACAGCAGAAGAACACAGTGATGCCTATATCACCTTTGACTCCTCATCGCTGGTGTTGACATCCACATCCACCCGTGTCCACTATGACACACACACGCTAACAGAACTGCCACTAATTGTAGGTGGCGAGCATGTGCATGTCACGAATGCAGTCAATATGTGCTAGCATCTAGACCATTTAACCACTAAGCACAAACCGGGCACACATTAACACACGGGCGACAAATGGAACACAGCTCTCTTGTTCAGCCTCATGGACCGGAGGGGCAAGTACGGATTTGTGAGTAGCTACTAAGGGTGCACAGGCAAAGTGGGGTGGTATGTAGGCCCAGCACAATGCCCATGCCACATTCGTTTCTCCAGTTACTAAAGTTTACACATTGCAACCGGTACACCTAGTACGTTATGAGCCTTGAAATAAAGAACGAAGAAAGCCACTGCTGAATCCAAAGTAAGAAGACGACAAATTGCCTTAAGTGATGCAATTAAAATTGTATAAATGAAGTGACCATTATGCCCAGGTCACTTGTGGCTGAGGGGACCTATGGGGTCACGTTCAGGGCAGGTTTAGCACACAAAACATCATCCAATCACCCACCCACCCTCCCACGCCACACAGAGGCACACAAAACATCATCCAATCACCCACCCACCCTCCCACGCCACACAGAGGTACACAAAACATCATCCAATCACCCACCCACCCTCCCACGCGACACAGAGGCACACAAAACATCATCGAATCACCCACCCTCCCTCCCACGCCACACAGAGGTACACAAAACATCATCCAATCACCCACCCTCCCTCCCACGCCACACAGAGGTACACAAAACATCATCCAATCACCCACCCTCCCTCCCACGCCACACAGAGGTACACAAAACACCATCCAATCACCCACCCACCCTCCCACGCCACACAGAGGCACACAAAACATCATCCAATCACCCACCCTCCCTTCCACGCCACACAGAGGTACACAAAACATCATCCAATCACCCACCCTCCCTTCCACGCCACACAGAGGTACACAAAACATCATCCAATCACCCACCCTCCCTTCCACGCCACACAGAGGCACACAAAACATCATCCAATCACCCACCCTCCCTTTCACGCCACACAGAGGCACAATATGTCGAAAGGTGTAGAACTTGGCACCTTTATGATATGGGCCAGCGAGGGCCTGTCCTGGGGTTGATTTTTGGCCATGCTCAACAACAGCTGCTTGAAGGGCCCGCTCAGCTTCAGCTTCTGACAGGCAGCCAAGTTGCACTTGGCCGCAGACCACAGAGTAGCAGCCAAGCCATACACACAAGACTGCATACGAAAGAGATGGCAGGGCACTTTAGCTACAAGGTGGTTCGTTATGGCATTTTAATATGTCCTGCTGTTATATATATCAACGATAAACTATAAGTCAAACACAGTCGCCGTAGACTAAGTCCGCCGCAAAGCTTTTCAGCTTTCAAGTTGTTTGGCGTAGATGCATTCTGTTGCGGCCCACTGCAACACGTGCCAATGGGTGTGCAGGAGTGCGTGCTTAATAACAAGTTCTGTGAACCGCTGCCATTTAATATCCAAAATAAGTAATTTGGTAAAAGACACGCTGAGCGAACCGTGTGTAAACATATTTTCTGGTCAGTTCACTCTCAGCATTTGCCATGAGGTTAAAGGAGGAGGAAATTGGCTTACCTCTTTGTCAGTGCTCGTTCACCCCGAGAATGACGTCAAGGAAGCCCAGAGGGATATCCAAGCAACGAGCGTAAACAAATCGAAGCCAAGTAAGGGGGTGTTTTTATTACCTTTTCGGAAAGCAGCCCGTTGTCCTGTAACTCGGGAGCGAGATAGAAAGCTTGCACATTTCCTGCGTTGAATACAAAGCGATAAATGACTCCATCACACTGTGTGCAGTAAAAAAAAGACAAACAGGGCGTTGAGGAGTAGCGGTTCCCAGCCCGTGGTATGCGTACCTCTGGGGTTTACGCGGAACATCAAAATCATAATATTTACACTGGAGGAATCCGATGAGCTATAAAGCTCCTTTTCAAAGATGTACAGTAGGGGCGGGTAAGAATGTTACAACAACAAACAGTACACAAACACAAAGTGCATGAAAAGGTAAACAAATCGCCCAAACACAAACAGATAAAACTAAACCATCCCCATCCTACCAGGCAAAGCCCACTGAGGTATGAACTTGTTTTTCAGAAGCGACAAGGCTCAAGAAAGTGGCTTATCATTTGGACATTTATAGCACCAAAATAATCTAAATCTCAATGCATCTCAAGGGGGGTATGCGAGAAATATGAAGGAATGACGGTGATCACAGGACTGAGGAGTGTTGCTCAGCGCGTGTGCATGAGCATTCCTAAAGCTATAAACTACATTATTTTTACGTTACTCGGTAAGGCCTACTAATCTAAATTTTTGAGGCGACCTGGCCACAAATACTCGGAACACACGTTTCTAAATTTGGAGGGAAAAAAAATCAGAATACCCGCAGAAAAATGCACGCCACTACGGGGAGAACATACAAACTCCAAATATACAGCAGCAGGTGTCAGGTTCGGGATCGAACCCACGGCCTCCTGCATACCAGGCGAGGCAGTTAACATCTCCTAGCCGACGTGATGATGATGATGATGATTAAAGAGACACTCAAACTCCAAATATACAGCAGGAGCCATCGTCAGGGTCGGGATCGAACCCACGGCCTCCTGCATACCAGGCGAGGCAGTTAACATCTCCTAGCCACCGCAACGCCCTCACATGAAGTCGGTTACATGGAATTTGGCGAACCCGTGCACTCAGGTGTCTCCGTTTTAAATGTGTTCTGCAAGTGCTCTCTTTCTCTCATATTTCATCATATTCGTGTTCACATTTTATACATACACTAAAAATATTTACGTCAGAACACCTCTCCAGCCTTCTCCTCTCTGCTTCGTAGTGACTCGGCTTAAACGGTTCAGGAGCATTTTCGTTGTTTTATGAAAGTGCAAATATTTAATTGTACATCTCTGGTTATTTGCTATTATGTTATTACGTGTCAACCCTAATTATTCGATGCTAATTAATTGCCAATTTATTAAAAAATATATGTATTAGTTAACTTGCAGGACATGATGGTGAACGGGTACATGAAGAGTGAGGGTAGGAGGAGAGTTGATAGGACCAATTGGGGGTACACGGAGAGCTTATTGGGCTAGTAGAGGGATACGCAAAGAGGTCATTGGGCTAGTGGGGGGTACGCGGAGAGTTGATATGACCAGTGGGGGGTAGGGGGAGAGTTAATTGGGCTAGGAGAGTGGTAAGCAGAGAGTTGAGAGGGCTGGTGGGGGGTGAAAGGTTACGAACAATTGGTTTCGATCATGGGGGGAGAGTCGAGGATAATTTACACGGACCCACCTGGTGGAGGGCAAAAGGTGGCAGTCCCCTGCGTCTGTATGAGCAGTGTGTCCACAGACACGTAGACTGTTTAAAAAGTGTTCAGGAGAGGAAAAAAAAGCACATTCGTACAGTGAAGTTATTGTTCAAACATTGCCATCAATTCTTAACATGTGTGCCAATAATTGAACCAATAAATACTATGGACGGGGATTAACATGTTTACCGATTCCCCATTTCCGCCTGCTAACGCACACTATTTATGTTTTGTCACTAACTCCACCGGGCAGAACATGGTCAATATGCCTACATGTACATTGTGCCTCGTACTTGAAGCTTTAGAGATAATGTCTGCCCTATATTGGGTTTCGGCTTAAAATAACAAGCACGTGTGTCACGTGGACAAATTGATTTTACAACAGGGTAAAATACATTAATTGAGGTGTTAATGTCCACTTGTTAACAATCAAATAGGTGGTTTCACAAACGCATGTTACTCTCCATTTGATATTAATAATACTTTGCCAAAGTATGGACATCTCAATTGAATGTCAAGAGTGTTTTCAAGATTGGCCCTGCCCAATAAACATGCGATATTTGGTGAACGTTGGCGCAAAGTCAACTGCCGTTTGGCCAAACATTGCATGTTTACTAGGTGCTCGGGATGTTGGGTTATTGCTTTTAGTAAGATCTTAGAAGCTAAGCATAGTTGAGCCAGACAGTGCTTGTATGGTTGTCACACCATGTGCAAGACCCAGGTGCTATAGGCGTTGTGGGCAGTAGAGGGCAGTGCAGAAAAATCCATCGTTCCGCACTCCTCTCTGACCTTCACCAACTCCCACTGCCCAGCGTGGTGAAGTCTGGTCCTATAATTCCTCACGCCCCGCAATGCATGGGGAGGCGCTCATCCAGCAGTGGACTCGCAATCGGGCTGTACGTGTGTCAAGGCCGCAGCCATGGAGTCAACATTGGGGGGGACCAAATCTTCCAGGGCGTCTGGGGGTCCACCCCCAGATAAAAAATCTAAATTAGAAAATAATTTCCTGCCTAAAATATTTAAAAAAATTCACTAACACATAGGATGGACTTTTTATTTATTTTTTAAACAATAATGCTAATAGTGTATTGTATTACATTGCTCTGTTTTTTTTCTTTTTTACCTTTTCTTGTTTCATTGTATGTAATGGCCAGAGATTAGGGATTAATAAAGTACAACCATAACCACAATAATATACTGTAAACATAAATCTATTTTATAGCAATATATTGGGGGGGGGACATTTTGAGCATATTTGAATATATATTATAATTACGGCCTTGACGTGTGTCACTTTTGAGCGCTGCACCATCAAACAACTCCTGATGCCATCGAATGAATTTGCCGAACTCAACACACACACACACACGCGTGTTCACATTTGTTCAGTGGCTTTTGCAAATGCCGTCCGAAAGAGAAACTGCAACAATAAAGTAAAACTAGACGACGTGAAAGTCCATCAGGTCCCGGCTTAGGTTGTTAATCAGGGTTGCCTCACCTGGTAACTGCTTGTTTCCCTGCAGGGTCAAGGCCGCCTCCCGGCAAACACACCACAGCAGCTGCTCCCCCAACGGCTTGCCCCACCCGGCCAGCACGGCTCCCAGAGACACCTCCTTGCCACCGCGGACAACGAATTCCATGCACGGAGATGGACAAACAATATCAGCGACGACGCCGACGCCGACGACGACACATTTCATTACACGGGCACTTGCCCGAGGAGGATGTTACTACTCGCAGTGCGGTGGCGTGTGTGTGGTGTGTGAACACAGCGCTGCATTGTGCAGCATGTGCTGGCAAAGAGACAATCAGGATAGCATCGTCCTGCTCCAAGCAAAGTGAGAACTGGTCATGCATCAACAGGCCCAGATGTATTTGTACTCCCGTTTGCTTAATCCGTTTAAAAAAGTCAGACTCTTCACGCCCACAATACACCCACGCGCAAACTAGCGAGCGCACACACACACCATCTCACTAGAACTTGTTCTGCCATTCGCATACATGAAGGCCAACTACCATCACAATAGTGTCAACATTGCGCTGTGCTGCTGATGATGATGATTGCTTTACCATGGGGTGAATAAGTGACGTCGTGGTTAGTGCATTGGGGATATAAACCTGGCTAGCTGGGTTTGATTTCCAGCCGTGGTGAACATCAGTGGCAAGTGGAGTCACCAAACCACAAAAACGAAAGTGATGAAGGATGATCCCATGACGGATATAGTGTGGATTAACAGAGGACTGTAAATTACTGTTACGCAATGCGTTATTTGGTGATACTGCTGCATTGAAAGTGGTGCACAAGCACCCAAAACAGATAAAACCCCTCACAGTAGAGGGCAGTATTGTCAGGTATGCACTGAAGCCCATTTAACAATGGTGGTTATTAATAATTTAAAACACTGTTGCAACCTTTGTTATTGCGAAATGAAACACAACGTTTTCAATGAGCCTGCTAAATTAAATGCCTTTAAACATTTCACAACCTCAATCTTCATTCTTTTCTCACTCCGTTTGCCATACAACTATGTATTTGCATCTCCATACGTAGTTGCTCTTTTGCCTTTTCTCTGGGCACGTTTATGATCACCACTCTTCTGAAATCCCTCATGTACAGGAATTCAATCTGTCAACCAGTTCATAAGTGGCGGTGCTTGGCTCTAAATTGCGCTGGCAACAGTCTGCCTTCGCTGACATGCACAGGTGGGTTCATTAAAAGAAACTGGATTTCACTGGCAGTGGATTAATCATCAGCACGTTCTCACATAGAGAACCCATCATTTGGCTCAGGAAAAAAAAACCCCATAGACTCACAGAGACCCAAAAGACTCACACAAAGACATGTAGATTCACTCATAGACTTATTTACGTAGAGGACGCATTGACCCACATAGAGACCCACTGATAAACGCTTTCTCCATCAGACAGGATTGCTAGAAGAACCGGTCTGGTGGAGCTCGCCGCTGCCACCACCAATCACCACACTGCCTTTCAATGATCAATTAAATTTCGATTTAAAGCTTTCGTGACTGCAAGGATTCATCTTCTTTGGTTCTTTCGGTAAAGTCACGTAGAATGAGAATAAAATAATAAATTAATAAAAAAATAACACAGTAAAATTCTCACGACGTTTCGGCCACAAGAAGGCCACTTGTGTTGTGGCCGAAACGTCGTGAGAATTTTATTGTGTTATTTTATTTTATTAATTTATTACTTTATTCTCATTCTACGTGACTTTACCGAAAGAACCAAAGACAATGATCAATTAGTCCAGCTGGACGTGGCACCTGAGACTGGAGAACCCGAGACGGACTTTGTTGCCTCCACAACTTGGAGCCCCGAATGCTACTCATGTAACTCGCCTTTCTTCATCGTGCCGCGTAAAATTGTGTCCCTTACCACTTTGTCGCATCTCTCGTACCCTCTCCTGCTAATTTCTGAACGCATTACCCATGTTTTTTCTCACTTAATTACAATTTGCAATTTCCAAATTCTAACGCAAACAGTTTTATCGTCCCCGCATTTTCTTCACTCTCAGCGAATTTGGGTTAACGAATGGGCCGCAAACTTTAGTCAGAAACTTTCAATAAGGAAACTCTCACTTTTTTTTTTTTTACGAAACCTATTCACCATTAGCAGCACGATGTGGTCAACACTTAAAGAATGGCTCTTAAATCCCAGCACATGGCCTGTCAAGAAAGAACAAACCAATTTCAATGAGTTGCTTCAGAGGGGCTGACGAAATAAAATAGCTGCCTTACCCCATGTACCAGTGCACATCGAAAAACACTACGGCTCACCAAGCTACCGTCATTATTTTAATGGTGTATTTGGGAATACGCCGTGTGTGGGAGTCTGGGGAGTGTGCATGCTGTCATTGGTGGGGGGTCTTTGTTTATTACCATGAAAGCGAAGCTCCTTTACACAATAGCAACTCCCACGTGGAAATGGGAAAGAGCCATGCAGATCTGCATTATCTCCTGCTGCTATGTAAGCACCTTGGTATTAATCGCACAATGCCAGGCTCGCCACCACAAATTTATTGAGAGGTATCGTATTGTGGAATGCGTTAGAGGCGTGGGCTCACGCAAGGACTGTCAAACTCGGAGTGCATGGAAATGAACAGTCAGTGGAGCACAACATGGTTTCAATAATTCATTCCGAGGATGGATTTGAACTTGAGGCCCCAGAGATTCCAGGCCCCGAGCCCTGATAATGGAGCTTTATCCCACTGAGCTACCAAAGCCACTTGAAGATAACGGGGTTTGTAGACCCAATTAAAAAAGTTATTGACTGAAGTATGATGCAAACACACACATACACCGACACGCCAACACAAACAAACAAGAAAGACAGAAATGGATGGATGGTAAATAAGGTGGAGAGCTCTTGATTTGATTGCATGTGAATGGCCATATGTACCTCGATGCTCTCTCTGCGTCTTTGCAATTGTGAACTGCTGACAGCGTCGGCGTTTCTCGCTGCGGAGCCGCTGCCAATGCGGTCATCTCCTTTCCCCGCTCGCAGCGTGGGATCGCTGTCCTCCAGCCGCCGCTTGTCCACCAGCGTTGGCCAGTACGTGAGCTGCCCGCCCACCCGGAGGTTGCGCTGTCTCACAGGGCTGCTCCTGGTCAGCCGGTCGGCCCTCTCGCCGTCGTACGGCGAATCCAACGACCGGCAGCGCTTCACAATCCTGGTGGCCGTGCCGGACGTGCGCGTCGCCCCCTGGCCATCGGCGGCCGAGCCCGATGCTTTGTCCGAGTCGGCGACGGACCGAAAGCTCTCGCTCACCTGCTCGTCGAGCGAGTGCACTTTAAACAAGTGCCTCGCGGCGGGTTTCATCGTCAATTCATCCGGCACGGCGGCGCGGCTTGATTTTGTGCCTCGGGCGCAAAAGTCGACGGCAAAGTTCTCCTTGCCGTCGAGTGCGGACGCATGAACGAGACTCTGCTGCTGCTGCTGCATTTTCGGGAATGCTTCGACGGGGATTTTGGGCAGAAGCCGCCGTTTGAGCGGAGAACAAACTGTGGCTCCAGCAGCCTCCACGTGTGGCTGTGCCCCTTCAGACAATGGAACGAGATCAAACAACCCCAACAACTCTTTACAGTGACGTTTGCTGCACTCTGGCTTGCCGTCCTCTTTCTTCTTCTGAGGACCTGTCTCACCCTGCGGTTTCGTGCTGGGATCCTGCAGACTTCCCCTGTCATCCTTGTCTGCCTTCGCTTTGGCTGGTGCTGCGTTGTGAACCATTCTATCAAAGCTGAGGTCTTCTGTGCTGGACGATCCGTCGGCTGGGTTCCTTTCATTGAATGTCAAACGCCAGGAGTCTCCACCGCTATCTGTTGTAAAAAGACCAGCGAGGGTTAATTCAAATTCATTTATTTATTCATTCAATCAGTTCAAAATTTGTTTGGTTGCTTTCGTGACTGCAGGAATTACTCTTTGTTTTTTTTCGGTAAAGTCACGTAGAAATAATAAAAATAAAATTACATAATTTTAATTTTCTTATTAGCTGCGTTGCTGCAGGTCTTCAGGAAGTTTGACAAAGGTCGATACATTGCACACAGGCTGATGTTGTTTTGACATTGTTCGTGACTATTTAAAATAAAATCCATAATTTTTAACTGCTCTTTGGTTTTTTCGGTAAAGAGCAGTTCAAAATTATAGATTTTATTTTAAATAGTCACGAACAATGTCAAAACAACATCAGCCTGTGTGCAATGTATCGACCTTTGTCAAACTTCCTGAAGACCTGCAGCAACGCAGCTAATAAGAAAAGTTATATTCTACATTATTGATTTGCGCTACAATTGCTGGACAAAACTAGCAAGGGAATGACAACTAAGGAAAATAAATAAGGGACTACATAAATAAGCAAACACAATCTCATCACCCTCAACATTAACACTGCCTTATAACAATAAACATAAAGACGGTCAAACAATATAAAGTTCTTCGGAGGCCACAGCCCGAAACCTTAATATATGTATTTTTCTTAAATGGCAGTTTTAATGTCAAAGGTTGACGATATTTTTTGTTTACAGGCTCACAAAGGGAATTCCAGAGATGTAGTAAGGGTGCATAAGGACGTGTGAATGAATCATATTCCATCTGCAGATGCTAGACACAAAGACATTGTCCCACTCAACAGAGGACAGAGATTGTCCGATGAGTCGGGCAAGCGCACAAGTGCTATTTGCGATAACTTTATTCCAACTCATCAATAACGTGGGTGGGTGGCAGGCAGTAGGTGACAGGCCCCAAGGGTCCTGTCGTGCTGGGCACGGCTAATAAGCAGCCGCGGCATGAGCAATGAGCATTGCTCCGTACCCCGTGTCCTAACCAGGCGCACAGAGATTGTGAAGTTGCACATCTCAGCACGAAATCCAACAAAAATCTGAATTTGCCGCGGAGTTTTCACCATGCACAGTTCGTCTTGTCAAACACAATCAGGCTTTACGTAGCTAGCAACCACTGCTCTTGCAAAGCACGAGCACAGAGGAGTGGTAATATGCTTTGAGTCAGCTGCTGTTAGAGAACTAATTGCATAATGCAATGTTCTATCGTCTGTTAACGCACTGGCACTGACAATCCAATGTTCTGCTTTCAGAGTAATGCCGTGCTGTGACAAGACCGTTGCGAAAAACATAGAACCCATGGCTGCTGTCAAAGTTAGATCAACTGCTCCGCAGATGCGAGCGTATGATGTTATGCTCTCATATAAAGATTACGTTGATAAATTGATAACATTTTCTTGGAGAGACGTATATGTGTTTCTACTAGAGTCGGAAAAGTAACTTCCTGCGTACGCATTGTAGATGGCTCTTACTCATAATACCAGATCACCCAGTCGTGCTGTTTCAGCAGGCCATGCCTATTGGTGCACTATGTGTTAGCTTGGCGTGGTCTGGGACTGTTTCGATGTTGTTTTTGCCCAATCTTGATAGATCGGACTTATATAATAAATGTATAGATTACGCATTTATTTATTTTAGTGACATGCTTACCATTTTTCTCTTCTTGCACTGCTATTGTGTTGTTGTATTGTTTGCTGTTGTAATTTGCTGACCCACCCATACTGGACATCTGTGAAAAAGAGCTTCATAGCTCATCGGATTCCTCCTACAGTCTAAATAAAAAAAAATCTGATTCCAGTCCAAAACCATCACTTTACCCTACATTGCTGGGATCACAAAAAAGATCTCCAAAATCTTGAATAAACACAAGATCCAGGTCCGTTTCAACACATTACATAAAATCCGTGATCTGGTTCCGTCTGTAAAAGATGTGATTCCGGACATACAATACCCTGGTGTCTACAAACTAAGTTGCCTCTGTGGTAGTAGTTACATTGGAGAAACCAAACGCCATGTCTCGGACCGCATTCGTGAACATAAAGCAGACCTTAAACACGGTAGGACCAACACCTCGGCCATAGCAGATCATTGTTCTAATTCAGTAGGCTCACATGCCATTGACTTTTCCAAGACGGAGGTTCTTTGTAAGCCATCTGGCTTCCATGAGAGATTCGTTCATGAGGCTATCCACATATACAAGCACAGAGACAATTTCAACCGAGAAGATGGATTCTATCTTAGCAATCATTGGAAAGATTTGATAAATCATTTCAGTTCTTGATTGATTGTTCACGCTTACAGTGGCTTTCAGACAGCATACATTATAAAAAATTTCGTCTCCCCCCTCCTCTTTTCAAAAAAATAGATGGACTAGTCCTGGGCAAACTGCCAATCGCTGCACGTGACACCAACGTTTTTTTTTATAAATAAATAAATGTGCCGTTTTAAAAATAAATTTATGCAAACCAACACACCTGATGATGACCGTTTGAGTTATGGTCGAAACGTCGTGAGAATTTTTTGTTGTTTTATATATATTTTGTTGTTTCTCTTCAACGTGACTTTACCGAAAAAACTAAGAATACCAGTCCAACTTGTTGAGACAAATTGGTCCTGAGGAATATGAATGGCAATAGGCTTTGGAATTAATCGAGCCGGTTACCCATGTTTTTAAATTAAATATTAATGACATTAAATTCAGTTGTAGAAAAATTAGACTGGGGATATATCAAGCGAAAAGAGGGAGCGCTTGTAAAAATACACCTCGTAAGGAATCATTATGTGACAGAAGTGATCAAATAATCTCGTGTGCGGGTGCCAGGTGAATTGTGAGAGATCGTTGTGACTTGGGGAGACCTTCATCCCACAGTCAATTGACTGTGGCCGATGATGCTGATGCTGATTGAATAGTTCGACCAATTAACTCTCATGTCACGTATTCGCGACTGTATACATGCACAGCGAGTTGATGCAATGAAGCTGTGTGCTTTTTCTAAGAACCATCAACAACTAGGCTGATCCCCCCCCCCCCCCCCACGTGTGTTGACCCTTGCATTGAGTGGCGTCAGCGTTAAGTGTAACATGGCACACGGCATGGCCTTCGCTGCAGAAGAGGCGGTCAGTGCTGAGTCACCGGAGGCCGTGTTGATGGACTCGATGGACAGGACCCGGCGTCCCGTGGCTGAGAGGTGGCGGCAAACGCTGGCGGACGACTCGCTCTGAAGACGTGACTGGCACAGCCTCAGCACCGTCTGCAGGGCCACATCAACGGAGAAGGGGCGGTGATGGTGATGGTGATGGCGATCAGCGTGTACCCCATTAATCTCTGCATTATGTGCACCATTAGATTTTGTTTGTAGCTGGCCAGCCAAAGCCTGAGGATTAATGAAATGTGCGCCTAAGCAGAAATAACACTGTTATGTTTGCCTTCAGAGTACATTTGACTCAACTGGCCATACATTTGTAGAACTGACTGTGGCGTAGTCTCCCGTGTGTAAAGGCAGCTGGCAAGTAGGCATGTAAGGATTTATACCCATACATTCAGGCATATTGTGTTCGCGAATTAATCCAAAATTTCATAATTTTTCGTCTATTTTTCCATCTAATTTATACAGTTTCTCATTTGGTGTGTCTCATTGGCTGGATTTTTTGTTTCTTTAGCCTACCATGTAACATGGGCATATTTTTTTGCATGCATTGAATAAATCAATTCTCACATGCATAATTCAATGTGTGTATTATGAGCATAGTAATCAATTTTGATTTAAAACTTTCGTGACTGTAGGGATTCATATTCTTGGTTCTTTCGGTAAAGTCACGTAGAAGGGGAACAATAAAATAATAAAAATAGAAAACAATAAAATTCTCACGACGTTTCGACTGCAACACAAGCAATCATCATCATCAGGTGTGAAAACCACAACAAGAACATTTTCTTGTTATTTTCTATTTTTATTATTTTATTGTTCCCCTTCTACGTGACTTTACCGAAAGAACCAAGAACATAGTAATCAATGTTATCGATAAATCGACACATTGAGAACGGATAGATAATCCAACCTACAGTCAGAAGATTGTGATTTAAAATTCTGTTCAGAAGTAAGCTGACCATCACTCCATCTGGTTGGATAAAATTAGTAATGCTATGTGGTGTTGAAAAAAAAATACTATACATACACTATAACCACCATATGAATGTGGATTATTCATCACTGGCCTAAAGTTGCCAGTGGATACGGCCACCATCCCATTTTTCTCTTTTGAGCATGGAGATACTTGGACCTTATTTGCATATTGGCACCATGAAAAGGTTATTATTATTATTTAAATATCAGAGCTGCACCATGCCCATGACACCCAGAATAACGATACGCCTATCTGTGGCCACTGTTAAAGCTGTTCCACTGGCACGTCCAAGCCAGCTTCGGGGTCCTCACGGTACAGGTTGTTTCCCCCACTGGAAATTTGCCAAATGAAGCCACAACCAAAACTTGGGATCAGAGGCCTCACAAGACATCTGAATGTGGCTCAGGGACAAGCAGGGCCAGGGGCAGGGCTATTAGCACGTCCATTGCATGTGACGTCAGTCGCTGCATTGTGAGGACAGGGGCACCACGGTGGGCGAATGTTAACTGCCTTGTTTGGTAAATAGTCGGGATCGCGTGGATTTTTCTCCGGGTCCTCCGGTTTTTTTCGCCACATTTACAAACGTGCGCTTAGAGCATTTGGCTGCTACAAATGTCCACGTGATAAGCCACTTCACTGAGCTATCATTTGTGGCGAGGTTGCTTCTGACAAGGAGCTACATAGCTCAGTGGGCCTTACCTGGTGAAATAAAAAATCGTTTAAAATAGTTTTACCTCCAAGCGACCCCACTTGTTCATTACATGTGACGTCAGCGGCACGGCACGGCTCGGCTTCTGCAGTGGGAAAAAAAAAAACAGCCCGGCATGGCTGTGCAGTGGAAACGAGGAACGTGTGCAGTCGGATACCTCGATATCTGGCCTGGAGTCTGGGTCGTCGTGTTGCATTTTCTCCAGCAGGGCTCTCAGCTCAGCGCTCATCTCCATGCTGAGCTCCGGCTCCACCACATACTCAACGGCGGCAAGCAGGGTCATTCCCAGTGAGTAGATGTGAGCCTGTTAAGGACGCGTGCATTTAAATCCACACAATGAACACCACAGTCAGCAGTGGGCATCATAAAGGAAGACTACCACCTGCCACAGTAATGTGGAAATTATAACTGCTGGATAAGAACCAGTAACAGAGATGATGACTGGACCCTAACTCATTCACGTTTATTTTTTGTTAGATGTAAAACTGGACAATTCGCTGGTTTGTGGTTAATCAACCAAGAGTGCTCATTCCAACACCAAGCCATCATGCAAAGTGGTATTGTCAAGGCAACCGTCTTTTACAATGTGTGATGACGGCTCATGATATATACAGAGAGAGAGAGAGGGCACTTAAAACATATCTGGTAAACCAGCAGTATTTGTTAGGGAAGCTTGACTCTGCTCGTGAGCCCAGGAAAGCATTGGAGTGTGTGTTTAAGCAAATGCTGCTCGTTCACATGAGTTTGTAAGGCCAATAAATTACTTTGTATGTGGAGATACAGAACAGAAAGTAATTTATTTCATTAATCTACAACAGTGATTGTCAGAAACAAGACAGGGCTTAAATAATGATGATGTAAATAGAAATAAAACTGAAATACATGTAATTAAATAATAAAGGCACTTGTCAGTATCGAATTATTTAAACCTTAGTGACTGACCTCAAAGGTTTACTAATTAAAAAGGAATTGGCCAAACATCCTGGAGTAGCATCCTTCTAAAAAACATGATTTACTGCAGATTACTGTAATTAAATTAAATGTGTTAAATATCACCACTTGCAATACATTTTCCTCAAACTACACAACCACAGTCTGACCACAATGCAATTCACGTGGCTTGTACAAACACACCCTTCTCAGTTCCAGCTTTTTTTAAAACCTAAGCATCTAAACCAAAATCAACAACCAAATCACTGCACAATTTAGGGACTGTCATTTTGGTGATTGCCTCTTGAGATAACTGGAGTGAGAATGTGGAGTGAGTTGAGGATTTGTTTCTCAGAGTAAATTAGGGAAAGCGAATAAGTTGTAGTAGTGAGATTGTGGCCACCTATGCTGGTGTCGGTTAAATGTCTACTAACTCAGAGGCATTTGTCTTGCTTTTACACTGCAGGGCAACCACAGCCCTGGCTTAATTCCCACAATAGTGACTTGCAAAGACTCCTAGGATATCATGTGAATTTTCCAAAGCACAAACACATTTTACCGCAGGGGCATGTAGTTCCTTGAGCGTTATACATCAGTTGGAAAGGTAATATTTACAATGAACGTACTCTAATAAAAACAAAAATGTACCGTCACATTTACCCAAAAAATCCTCAATTGAGCATAACGACTCCTTGAGAAGGCGCTACAACCAAATCGCTTGCTGCAGTGTATTCGATTGTGGGCAGAAACTAGTGGTATCCAACGGAAACCCACAAACATTCAGGGGCAATACTCAATCTCCACACACATTGGTCAGCATCCTGCTTGCTGTACGAGGCACCATAGCTACCACAATGGCCCTGCGGGTGGATGTCTCAAACACGAAAGGTGGATGTCTCAAACACGAAAGGTGGATGTCTCAAACACGAAAGGTGGATGTCTCAAACACGAAAGGTGGATGTCTCAAACACGAAAGGTGGATGTCTCAAACACGAAAGGTGGATGTCTCAAACACGAAAGGTGGATGTCTCAAACACGAAAAGTGGATGTCTCAAACACGAAAGGTGGATGTCTCAAACACGAAAAGTGGATGTCTCAAACACGAAAGGTGGATGTCTCAAACACGAAAGGTGGATGTCTCAAACACGAAAGGTGGATGTCTCAAACACGAAAGGTGGATGTCTCAAACACGAAAGGTGGATGTCTCAAACACGAAAGGTGGATGTCTCAAACACGAAAGGTGGATGTCTCAAACACGAAAGGTGGATGTCTCAAACACGAAAGGTGGATGTCTCAAACACGAAAGGTGGATGTCTCAAACACGAAAGGTGGATGTCTCAAACACGAAAGGTGGATGTCTCAAACACGAAAGGTGGATGTCTCAAACACGAAAGGTGGATGTCTCAAACACGAAAGGTGGATGTCTCAAACACGAAAAGTGGATGTCTCAAACACGAAAGGTGGATGTCTCAAACACGAAAGGTGGATGTCTCAAACACGAAAGGTGGATGTCTCAAACACGAAAGGTGGATGTCTCAAACACGAAAGGTGGATGTCTCAAACACGAAAGGTGGATGTCTCAAACACGAAAGGTGGATGTCTCAAACACGAAAGGTGGATGTCTCAAACACGAAAGGTGGATGTCTCAAACACGAAAGGTGGATGTCTCAAACACGAAAGGTGGATGTCTCAAACACGAAAGGTGGATGTCTCAAACACGAAAGGTGGATGTCTCAAACACGAAAGGTGGATGTCTCAAACACGAAAGGTGGATGTCTCAAACACGAAAGGTGGATGTCTCAAACACGAAAGGTGGCTGTCTCAAACACGAAAGGTGGATGTCTCAAACACGAAAGGTGGATGTCTCAAACACGAAAGGTGGATGTCTCAAACACGAAAGGTGGCTGTCTCAAACACGAAAGGTGGATGTCTCAAACACGAAAGGTGGATGTCTCAAACACGAAAGGTGGATGTCTCAAACACGAAAGGTGGATGTCTCAAACACGAAAGTCTCTGTGCGATCTGCGGAATTAGAGGCGCGTGTGTGCACACACACCCTCCAAGGGTGTGTTTTAATCTGTGCGCTATACAGTATTCATCGTTAACACACACATATCAAGTGTGCATTGCGAAACACAGATTAAGTAGACTGCCCTCGTGATTCATCCAGGTTTCCGACCTGCTAGTCACATACAATAAAGTCATGTTTCAAACGATAAAACATTCGCTAGGAATTGTTCTCACACGCGTGTCAGTTGCATAGATCGGGCACTCGTATTTGTGTGTTCTATTATAAACTTAATGTGCTCAGAATTGCCTGTATTAAATCGTAAGCACGAGTATAACTTACTGTGGCGGGTACAAAGGTTATACAAATATTGCGACTAAAAAGCGGCCGTTTAAACACGACGTCTTATTCTATGGTGGAGGTTTAAATACAACGACGACGCAGAAGAAAACAAAAAACCCACAAGGCAATGAAGCAGCATTGGGAAATCCATTAAGCAAACAACTCAACGTGTCCCAACCTGCCAGAGGACATTTACATGCCCCCCCCTCAACCTGTATTTAAGCTCTAGGTTCCCAGAACCTCACCGCTTGGTGCAGCGATTTTGCTGTGACTGGTCCCACCTGAAGACGGAAGCTTGCTTTGCCTCCGAAACGTCGTGTTTTAATTGTTTCTTTCATTTCACTTCAATTTATTTTAATTTGTTTTACCTACGTGACTTTACCGAATAGAACCAAAGAGTATTTACAACTTCACTTTTCATTCCCCACGACTCGGCGCTAATGATGAAGCGATCGTGTTTCTTGATTGCCGTGGGGCAACGCTCAAAGCTCTGACCTGTAGTGAGAGGTCCCCATCGTAGCGCACGCACAAACACACGTGACACTTAGGTCATCGAACGTCTGTAAATTGGCATTCATTGTTGCATGTTAAATGTTTTGCATCACTTGTGCATAACATTACGTGCAAAAGTTTACAAACAGAGGGTGTGTGTGATCTGTCAAGGGGTTTTTATTCGCTTTTATTTGTTCATGGTGTGTTAAGTGTTGTTTTTTTTTTAATATAAAGGGCTGAGGCTTTGTTATTTGGAGGACAACTCTTGACCCTTATTTTTGTGTAGTGAGGTTCCCACCCGCTTCGTGTTGGGTCTATTTTGACACGTCCTAGGCATCCGTGAGACAGTCAGTTCACTTTTTTTCATGATTCCCTGCCCTTTTCTCCTTCTCTGCACAACGAATTCAACAGCTTCCTGTTCCTCCGAAATCATTTCGCGTTTGTGGGTGAGTGAGCATTGACAGCGGCAGTGTATCAAGGAGCGCTACGCTGCGCTATGAACCCAGAGGCCCAAGTTCCATTCCCCCTCATGGCCAACACCAATAACGATGATCTGAACTGGTCCTGGGCCTCCCCTAGGTCGACTCAGCCTCAAATGAGTACCTGGTGCAGTGTGTAAACATCGCCACTAGGGAGACAAAGGTAGCCACGCGTGGTGCTGGCCACCCACCCCCTCGTGTGCCGTGCCGGCCTTCGTAGGTGCTCGCAAACAGTACTTGCCCGAACAGTCTGTTAAGGCTATACAGGGGATCTTCGTCTTTGTCGCTTGGTTAACAAATCAATTGTCGCACAAACTGTTATGGCATTTGGTGTGTGTCTTGGGTTTCATGGCAGTAGTGCTGGATCGGTACTGGACCGATATAGGATCGGTACTTTTCATAAAGCAAAGATAACTTTTCCAAAAAAATGTATTTCCTTCCATTTCTTCCCAAATGATTTTCAAAGTTTGACTTTGGGCGTCTCGTCACGAGACACGTTTACAACTCTTCCAGCGAGCAGTGCACCACCCCCACAGCAAGAGAACGAACATGAAAAGTGACAACACAGAACTATTTACTTTGTCAATTCAAGAGACCTTTGATCTATGGGCACAATCTCTGTGTCCGAAAACTCAAATGTGTAAGTATCAGGACTGCAGTAAGCTGAACAAAACATTAACATGATGGGCTTTTTGCTAACTCATTGGTGAATGGGCTGAGACCATGAACCTGCTACATTTGAGAACCCTGTTAACGATATGGATGGCTGCCCAGATTTAAACCCAGCAGTGCCAAATAAACGCACTGACACAATATTAGCCCACTGAGCTACCCTGGCCCCACACCACCTCAAATAAACAAGCACATATCATCACCCTATCCAATCTCACACCACCACTAGTTAATCCCACATCACCGTCTGGCCATTCTCATGCATTGAGTGCTACTGCATGTAAGGGTGGTGTGGCCATAACTCGTCATGGGTTTGCTTTGTCTCATATAACATAACGAATCTAACTTTCCCTTGCGTTGCTAACTATATATACCACTGTA